GTAGATGCTTTATAGAGTGATAAAAAAAAAAGTACAGCCTTTAATGGTATGACTTTTAACTTTATCAAAATCAGAATCATAATTAGAATATCTTTATCAAAATATATTAATTTAAATATCCTTGTTCAATGTCATATAAAGACATTAGCAGCTTTACTAAACATAGTATTAATAAAAATATTTCTAGAGCATGTAAAACAATTTCCACATAGAAAAATAGTACCAAAATTATTACTAGAAGGGAATTTGCATTGTGAATGGAGGAAAAAAATGCTAGTTATGTGATCTTTGAGAGCACAAATGTAAAACAAATAAATCAGAAGTTAAAAATATAAAATGTGATTAATGAATTTTATGATGATTTGATTTATATAAAGGAGCTATCATCCTTTGGTAATGAAATTATTGAATTCTATAAGAGAAGCTATTCCAGAAACTGCATCCAGTGTAGTATTCTTAATTCAAAATACAATTGATCTGCAAAATGTTTAATGTATAATTTGCTAATAAAATATTTATTACCATTCCTTAGAATAAAGAAACCATATTTGGTATATATTTTTGTATAATGAAAGAAGTTTATAAAATTGTTAATGAAAAACTGAACAGTTCATGATTTTGCACTTTAATTATACAATTACTGTAGTTTTTAAAATTTTGACTTAAACTTAAATCTTTGATTTACTCAGTACATTATTTGAATTGCATGATTTTGGTTTAACATGTGATCATAAAAGTGCAACAGTGTTTTCATTTTCACAATATAGTTTTAGTTTAATATGACATATTAAAATATATTCATTATTTTATTTGTTATGATATTATAATTGTGTTGTCACTATTTTTAACTTTTTTTTAACGTAGTACAAAATGATAAATTTTCTATGTCTCAACTATACACTGTATATTTTAAACATACTTTCTTATCAGAAAGTTTTTAAAAAATGAAATATAAATAAAAAAACAAGCTTTGATGATGTGATCTCACTAAAACCCGTTATCAATATCTTCAGTAAATGAATTAAAAAAAAAACTAAGATAGAAGTTAGTAACAGAAATGATGAGACTTTCAACTAAAAAACATGAGGAAAATTTAAAAATATAAAATTACAACGTTTAACAATACTTTGTTTCCGTTTGTTCATCCGTCGTTCGCTCCAGTTGACAGTCCACAAAAATTACAATCACGGAGGCGACCTTTCTTTAGAGGCTGCTGCCTCCGCAATAAAATGCAAATATGGTTAAAAACGTCCTCTGGTGCTATTGCCACTTTCACAAAAATTCATTTTGAAGAAAATAATAAATATTAACATGGCCGACGGTATTACATTTAATAAAATATAAAAATATAAAATTACAACGTTTAACAATACTTTGTTTCCGTTTGTTCATCCGTCGTTCGCTCCAGTTGACAGTCCACAAAAATTACAATCACGGAGGCGACCTTTCTTTAGAGGCTGCTGCCTCCGCAATAAAATGCAAATATGGTTAAAAACGTCCTCTGGTGCTATTGCCACTTTCACAAAAATTCATTTTGAAGAAAATAATAAATATTAACATGGCCATTTTATATTTTTATATTTTATTAAATGTAATACCGTCGGCCATGTTAATATTTATTATTTTCTTCAAAATGAGGAAAATTATTTGTTTTTTATCAACTAATAAAAAGTATACAGAAAAATTTTCATTTATATAAAAATAGTATTAAATAAGTAAAAAATTAAATTATGCACTTTATTAATATATTGATTAATATAAAATAAAATCTGTTTCTATTTTCTACATAAATGTTAGTCTCAATTTACAAAGTTTTGATTTATATGGAATGAATCTACCATGTAAATTGAGGGTTAGGTGTGTTTTCAAATATAAATTATTAAAAATACTGTATTTTTATTTTTATTAACAAAAATTTTTTTATAAATGTAGGTATTATATGATGGTAAATTATCAAGTGCCATAGTGTTTATGTATAATCCTGTAGCAACAGATAGTCAGTTATGTCTTCAAGCAGCTCCAAAAGGAAATATTTCATATTTTGTCCATACTCCTCATGCTTTGATGTTACAGGTAAGCATTAAACTTTTAATATAAAAAGCTTTTTTAATAAAAATTTAATGATATTAAATTTTGTAAGAACATGTGTTAAGTATGCTATTTACATTTATATATAGATAATATATACATTTTCTCTCAACTTAGATTCAATTGCATTTTTAAAATTAGTTTTTATTTAGCAAAGATATAATTATGCACTTGTTGTTAGTTGATGAACTTTAGCTTGAACATCAATACATTTGAAGTACTGCAGAAAATTTTATTTGGTAACAAAAAACACTTTGAATATGTAAAAATTGACTCTCTGTAAAAATGAAGTTTTAAGTTTTGTATGTATGTAAATATGCAAGGAGAAACTTCAGTTAACATTGCAATAAAGCATAGCCTTTTTAGACAATTTTTCATAAGTATAATTTATGAGAATAAGAAAGCTATTGAAGTTTTTTTGTCAGATAGTATTAACACTATCTGGCATAAAACAAAGTAATACTTTCAGGTAATGAATTTTGTGGATAATGTATGTTTTTTTTCCTACCAAAATTAAAAAAGAAAACTATAATGTTTTTAAAAGTGATAGGATATATTACAAATTTTAAAATCATACATTGTGAGATTTGCATTTTGAAGTTTACAAAACCCAATCAGGTTCAAGCAGTTGGCCTGTGTGGAGCTAGACTCAAACTGACATGCCTTTGTGAAAGATGAATGTTATTTAAGTCCCAACACAATTCTGAACAAGCAATTAATGACTGAATATATGTATTTTTACCTAGTATGAAGAATATAATAATTACTCAATCCAGAGAGTTATTGAGTTTATGTAATACCTGAATATAGAGAGAATGCTGAGACAAAGATCAGAGGTTTGGAGATAGATTGTCTGAGTCTTCTAATGGTAATCTAGTGGTGATGGTGTTGTGGTTGTCAACTATGGAGTTGGATCAGCAGTTGGCAGTGATGAAGTTCTATGACAAAAGGTCCTACATGAGTTTTTTTAACTCTTGGAACTTGAACACAAACAAACACTCTTTCTTTTTGTTCTCTGTTTTTATTCATAACTTTTATCCAGGAATTACTTTCCATGTTAATTTAAATTTGGGAGGAGGTTTGTCTCTTTCAATGGTGATTCAAATTACTGAATAAAACAGTTTGTACCATTGTGATTTAAATGAGTTGTACAAAAATATGTTGATGGATAATTGAATTTATTTAAAATACATCATAATTTGATATAAAATTTTTTAAATTTATAAAACAATTTTAAAAAATAAGATTAGAAGTAAGTTAAATCTTAAATTTCTCATTTAAGATTTATCTAATGTTGATTTAAGAATTTAATAACTTTTAACTCTACTATTATTAGAAGTACAATGATTTCATCATTGAACATAATCAAGAAACATTTAGTAAACAAAGTATAAACTGTTGTTTATAAACTACATTCATCATTTCTTTTAATAAAATTTTCATTAGAAGACAGGATGGGATTAAAGAATCACGAACAAAACAAAGTCTTTTTATAAAGACTTAAGAATCTCTTTATAAGTGTTAGTTTCTTTCATTAGATAGACGTATGAATTATATACTATAATTTTTACTTTAGGTGTTTCTTTATTTATTAACAAGAAACATCTAGTGATTCACAAACAATTGAAATTATAGTTTATAGTTTCCTTATGTCTGATGCTTTTTGTGATTAATTTTTTATTTTATTTTATTTTTTAATCATCATATATAATTACAACAAGAGAGTTTCTGAATATCACATGGTTTCATGTATTTTTTAAAAATAATCTTATGTATTTTGAAATTACAGTANTTGTCCAGTATAATGCAGTTCTTTATATTAAAATTTTATTTATATTTCTGGTATATATAATAATTTAAAAAGCAAAAAATTATAATTAATATTTGTTATTTACATTGTCAAGTTTAAAGCAAATCAAATTAAAAATGTGGCAATAAATTGTTTTTACATTTGAATTTTTTCAAAGAGACAATTTACTAGTAATTTAAATTTCATAATAATAAATGATATTTACCAACACATTAATAATTGTAATTTGATTTATATAAGAAAAATATAAAAGATTTTCTAAAAGATTAATGCATGAAGAAACAACTAAAATACATACTCAAGTAGAAATTCTGATTTTCTATTGTATTTGACTATTAATATTGCTTAATATAGAATTATTTTATGGACAAATGGATTTTGCTGTAAAATAAAAATTATTAAAATTACTGTCAATATGCAGATATTGTTTATTGGTAAATAGAATAAAATAATGTTTGAATTTCATTTAAATTTTGAAGTTGTTGTAACAACCAATTTACAAATTTTTAAAAAGTCCTATCTTCATATAAATTTTTATCTATAAAGAAAAGTGAATTTATCATATAACATTTAAAATTTTACATTGTTACTACACTTAAGTCTAAAAAAACTCCTTTAGATGAAAACTTTTCTTTTATTTTTATAGAGGATTCGTTTACTGAGGATTTGTTTCTTCCATAATGGCGCGATTAGCTTATAAGACAAGTGTCTATTTTATCTTCCAAGAGCTGCTTTATAATGGGCTTTCACTAAATGCACAGGTATATTACATGTTAATACTCAATTTATATTAAAAATAAAATAAAACTTTTAATGTATACACTTTATTATTAAATTTATTATAATTTATATGAATGATGGATGAGTATAATACACTTAAAATATTTTCATATATTAATATATTTTTATAAATTTGAAATATTATATTATACATTAAAGCATCTTTTTATTTATAATTTAAACATTAATTTAGAATAAGTAATCTTCTTTTTCTGGAGTTTTATGAAATTTAATTTTTTTCAATGTAAGCACTTTTGGATGTACTTTGTCTATCTTCAGAGTTAAAATAAAATGTTTAATGAATCATTTCATTTATTATATAATACTGTAATTTATAAGTTTTTTTTATCTTTCATATCATTTTCTGTAAAATTATAATTCTAAATTATATTTCATTTACTAAAAAGTGTTACTAAAAAGAAATTTTTTGTTTACTAGGCAAATTGAACAGAATAAGTTGTGTAATAATTATAAAGTTTACAAAAATTTCAGTTTAGAAATAGAATGTGCTAATCTTAGTAGTAGTATTAGTAGGGTGATGATATCACACTACTATACTAATCAACTTCAAATTGTAATTTGAATATAAACAAGTAAAATGACATTTTTGGGATGAGACTGTGTCTCAGAGAGTGCGAGCGACAAATGCGCAAATCTCACACTTATGGCTGTTTGTAGAAACAGTCTCAGCATTTTGCATTTTCTTTTGACTCAGTTCTCGGTCCCCTGACTGCCTACAAGTCTTGTTTATATTATGTATGCATGATTTGGGCACCAAATACTCTATGCCAAATTGCAACGCCTGACATGTACTCCTTCATACCTTTAAGGTGTGCAGCTGTTGACAGCAGCGTGATTTTAAATTTTAACATAAACAATGAGTATTGTCTAAGATAATATATACAGTATATAACACAACTAAGATAGATTAAACAGGTTTTATTGATTTTTTTAAGGTTTTGGACTATATGTTTCTCATCAGTCCTTTCTTTATCCAACATCAATCTGGTTAAAAACATTACAAATTTTAGGTTACAATTATAAATATACATGACATTATAATGAACACAATATTACCTGAATGATGGCTTTGTATGTGTGTTATAGTTAGGCTTACCATAATATTTTTTCCTCAAACCAGGACAATTTTGAGAAAATACAACAGAAAATAAATTGGTACCTTTAAATTATGAAATATATTTCAGGAAGATCCTTCTGCTGCTGCTAGGCTTGTCTTATGTTTTGCATATTACAAGTGAGTTTTTAATATCCGAACACCCACAATGAGTTTCTGAAAATTCTGAAAAGCACAGTTACATTTCACTTTGTCAGTATGATCACAAACTTTTTCAAAAACGGATAATTTTTTATTTTTTTTTTAATTCATCAGTAAACATAGTATTTTTCTGGCATTTTGGAGATTTAATGCACAGTACAAAATAATTGCAAATGCCATCTAGCAATTTGAACTAGATTAAGATAGACATGTGCAACAATGACGTACCAGTGTAATTTTCAATGTTGCCAACTCTAATTGAAACAAAATATCTAAAAAATGAAATAATAATATCTGGATCTCATAGACTACATGCTATTATAAATTCTGTGAAAAAATGTCTGGGTGAAAAAATAAAACATCTGAATTCATTAGGCCACATGCAATAAATTTTGAGGAAAAACATCTAGACGACATTAAAAGTACTTAGGCTGAGACTCCACTAGCGTAAAAGCAGGCGTAAAAACCTTTACCATAAAAACTTTTAGTCACGTGACCTATTTGCGTTTGTGTCTAGATTGCGGTGGAAGTCCGGCTGGCAAAGTTTTTATGGTGACGGTACTATCAAAGTTATAAAGACAATGATTATATTTTACGAGTTTTTTCTGTACTATAATTACAAATGTAGTAAAAATAATATCTTTACTTTCATATATTAACTTTTATTATCGTATTATTAATTAAGATAACATACAGCACTTATAAGCTTAGCTTTTTTCATTATATATTTCTCTAAATTGAAGGATTTTTCTTTGGTCATCCATATTGTGTGTTTTAGGCATCCATTATTATAATTGGGATACTTCTTATCATAGATACATGAATACTTTCGGATGTTTTCGATAAATCTTTCCAGATCTATTCTAGAGTAGCCACAAGAGAACGTACACAAAAGCTTGTTTTCTGTCATTTTAGCACTGTGTCACATTGACCTAGATTTCACTGACTTCTGATTGGTGGATGGTACCGTTTTATGGCTGTATTTGTGTCGAAAGTTGAACACTGCTCAACTCGCTTTTATGCTGGTTTTATGACCTGCTCCAGCATAAAATATCATGGTTGCATGATTAAAAGCTTTTACAGCGAGGGGTTTTCACCCGTTTTTACACTAGTGGAATCTTGGCCTTAGATCTAGATATAAAATATTTAGATTGGCAACAGGGATGTAACAGACGGGATATTTTTTTTTGCCAAATTGCCATTTTACCCAAGGCTACACTATTTTTACTTCTTGTATATTCACCATTTTAAAAATTTTACCAAATAACCGGGACAAAATAACAAACTGGCTGGGATGCAGGGACCACATCATCAAAATGGGACAGTCCCGGTCAAAGTGGGACATCTGGTAAGCCTAGTTATAGTTATACTTTTGAAAGCTGGATTTTTATATACTAAAAAAACAAAGTAAAATGTAAATTAAGTAAAACGTAAAAGGTTTTTAAATAGAATAAATAAACATTGATAAAAAAAATACTGTAAATTATAAGAGTATAATAAAAATTCTACTAAAATAAGAAAAATAAAAAGTTGGTAAAAAGAATATTTGTATGTTCTAAAAATAAATAAAAATTATTAAAATATTAAAAAAGGGAGGTGTAACAATCACTGCATGACCTTCATCTAAACTGTTAGATGCACTATACAATGTAATATAAAAAATAGGGATGTCAGGAGGAGAAAGAAAAGGTAATTTAAATGGACTCTTTTCAGAGCTGTAGTAGTGGTTGCCAGATCTCACTAATGGTAGTGCCAATACAGTGATACCCCGAACTTACGCGATATGTGGGGCCGAGCGATAACCGCGTAAGTCGAATTCGCGTAAGTCGGGGTATAATTTTGCAATTTGTGTAAAACCCAAGTCGGATGTATGTAAGCTAATAAATATTCTCGTTAATCTTATCTCGTCTTTTGATTCATTCACTATTTATTTATTTCACTATGTAAAGAATTGATACTTTATACTAAGCTACTATTGAATATTTTGAAAGTAAACTTAATTAAACACAACAATTTCTTATATTTGTTGACATTTATTTTTTGCAATATATAAAAAAAAGAGAATATTTATTATGATTATCATTACTTTTTATATTTTAATTTATAAATATATTTTTGTTAATGTTTTTAGGATGTCAAAGCTGTTACTACATACTCCATCCACAGTACACTAAATTCCATTGGTGGAATTCAGGTAAAAAGTAATTTGATTATTAAAATTTTTTTCATTTCTTATGCTTTGATTAAAAAGTGTTAATTTTTGCTACTATATTTAATTCAATAAATTTAATAAATTTTTATAAATTTCAAAATAAATTTTATAAATTTAGTTAATTTATTATGTCTTTCTATTACTTATGTTTAGTATTTTTTTATATGCATAATTGCTTTACAAGCAATAAAAAGATATAAAATATAATAAATATAATTTATTTTCCTCTGGATTTGAAGCAAAGTTAAAAATTATAAAAAATAAGAATATTATTACTTAAAAATTTTGAATGAATAAATAAATAAATGCAGTAAATGATGTGAGTATACAATATCAAATGAATATCCAGCTAGTTATTTACAACATTTGCACATTGTATTGGGCAATGATATGAATAAACAGGACAGGAACACCAGTCACCACTCTAGCAGACAATACTAGCAACCTGTTAAAACATCAGTGCCTCAATGCTGCTTGGGTAATGTGAACTATTTGTCAGCCACTGCACTCCACTTATTTTTGTTTTTGTTGTTTTTGTTTCTGTTCTGTCCTTTAGAGTTTAGAATATAGTAGTGAAAAATAGAAGGAAAGTTTTTTAATGAGTTTTACATATTAGTGATTGAGAAGGAGGAAGTCAATAGGTTTAATTTGAGTTTCCAGGAATATGCCAAAAAAATTGAATTGCAGGACAAAAAAAAATGTTCCTGCTAAGCAGCAGATAGGCACTGCAACTCAAAGTGTAATTAAAGCCTAAGTGGTTTAAATAAGTATGACTAAGTTAATACACACTAGATTTTATTTATTTATCCTGTAGGACTGTACCATCTTATCTAAGAGGTAGAAAAGTAATATAGATCCTGTACTAGAGTTTATTCTTATTTAAACTTGCATTTATTCGTTTTTATAATTAATGGAACCCAGAAGTTTCCAAAAAATAAATATATTGTATATGCCTGTGTTGTATAATGAAATAAATGTCCTTAATCATAGGTGTATAGTCTACAAGAAGAAAAAAATCACAAACAACAATTTGCCATATTGATTCAACATTGACTAATGATTGACTTCCATTCATATTGTTTCCTGGTCATTGTAAATAATACTCTCCTGAAAAGAACATAATGTCCAGTGAAAGACAAGAATGTTTAATGTGTTTGTACAATGGGATGAACATTTGGTCAAAGACATTATTGCCCCATTTCTTTGGCCATTCACATCATTGAATGTAACATATATACAGAGAAAAGTAAATGTGTTAGAGGATGCTTCCATGCATAGCAGGTTTATGGATTTAATTAGAAAAATCCATAACCAATAATTATTTAGTCCAATAAATGTTCAAAATATGTCCATTAGCCTCAAAACATTTTGCAGTATGTTTGTTAAATAACTATTTGTTATGCACAGTGAAGAAGTTGAGGATCTCAACTTCTTCACTGTGCATAACAACTAAGCTGCTGGCCTGCTTTCAATTTCCACAACTTTTTTTTACACATTTTATTAATGAACAGCAAATTATTTTTATTGTTATAATTAATAATAATAATATTTCAATATTGATAATTTGATGATAATAATATAATATTGATACTTTCAAATAGTAAATAATACTCATTACTTACTACTTGAATTATTGTAAACAAATGTGATGCAACTGTTGCTACAAATTATTACAGAAGTCTGATATTTAAAAATTATTTCCTAATGAAAACAGTGGCTGAGGAATCGAGATTGTTAATAAGTAAAAAAGTTAACATTGAAGCTATGGGAGAAATATCATTTTTGAATGAAACTTTTAAAGTTGCATTCATCAAAGCTCTTTTATATGTAAATTTGATATACGAAAAGGCACAATTTATTAACTAACCATCGTCCGGAACAAATTTATTCCATGTCTGTGATTATGGCAGTTAAGTTCTTTAGCATCATTAATGATATTAATTAATAATGAAAGTTATGTAGTAGCAGATGAAGATCTTATTTTATATGATAACAGGAATGAATCGTATGTTGACTAACATTGTTTTCCTTACTATTCCTTCCATTAATACTTTAATTATATACGTTATAAGTTATTTGTTGATAGTGCAAAGATGATCCAATAACAGATGAGAACTATAATGCAAGTGATTATGCAGAGCTTTCTCCACAACATAGGAAAGGGAATTAGCTACATATTGCACACTAGCCCTTTCTTATGTTTTAGTACCAGTGAAGGACTAATTGTAGAAATAAGTTTCATTTAGATCTGTTTCCCACTCCTCAAACCTTCCTCTTGTAAGGTTTAAAATTTTTATAATTAAATGCTTTTGGTAACTTCAGTTAGTTTTTTAAAGATAATAAAAAAACTCAATTATATTTTATCAAATTATAACTAACTGTTATGAATATATAAAGTGAAAAATTTTGCACTACATGCATTTTGTACTATAATTGTTTTTCTAAATTAATAAAATTAATTTTAAAAAGTTATTTATTTTCTTTAAGTTTGTCTTTATTTCCATAATTCATGCCAAAGAGACGTATTATTAGCAATTATAATTGTAAGTATAATTGTTAATAGTACTTTTCTTTATTATTATTAACAAAAATAAAGCATTTTGTTGAATTTTTCCGTCCGATGGCTGGATTATTATTAAAATATATCAAAGACAAGTCTGTCCAATAAGGAGCACCATTTATTTTGCGTTTATTACTGTGTATGTCTTAAATACAAAATAAATGGTGCTCCTTATTAGACAGACTTGTCTTTGATATATTTTAATAATAATCCAGCCATCGGATGGAAAAATTCAACAAAAAGAAATTTTAAATGTACCGTCGCCAGGGGGCAGCTTCAAAATCTACATATTCCAGCGCTTTTTTAGTAGATATAAAGCAGAACCACCCATTGGCCAGATGGATAAGAAGTAAGACGTCTGTGTCACCGATTCCTTTACTTTTAATTGGATGTTTGTGTTTTTTAAAGGACTTTTTTTACCTTTTGGCGGCATGTAGCCTAAAAAGGAAGGCCTGTCGCCATTACTGTGTATGTCTTAAACACAAAATAAATGGTGCTCCTTATTGGACAGACTTGTCTTTGATATATATATATATTTTTTTAAATAAAGCAATTATTATTAATCTAATATTGATTATTTTATAGTTATAAATTAGCATTTTTTTACTCAGTATAATTAAATGATAAAATGTGTAATATATGAGAATTACTTATTTTCTTTTATCTGTTTATGTTTATAGGTTTTATTTCCTTTGTTGGGACAATTAGACATTCCAACAGGAATACTGTTACTAAAACAAGATAAGAAACCAGCAATATGGTAATAAATTTAGTACTTAATATTTAAAAAATTTTTTTATAGGAATAATAGAATTATTGTTTGAATAAGTTTTATATTTCAATAATAAATTTAACATGAAATTAAATTTAAAATTCTTAACATATGAATATTAAATTCTTGTGAGTAAATATTAGATGAATTACTGAAACAGTTGTTTCATTTTCATTAATATATTTCAAAAAAAGAAAATTTCTAAATGTACTTTTGATTATTGTATTTCTGTATTTTTGTGCATATAACTTCAGGTTAGCTGTTTGAAGGAAATGCAGTTATATGTTGAGGTGAACTGCTACACATTTCAGAGACTAGATTATAAAATCAGTTACTATAGTTAGGATTTTTTTATTGCTAATTTTGGTAATGCAGTTTAATAAAGATTGTTATTTACATAATTTTGTCACTTAACTTTGTATTTTAATATCTATTTTATTTTAAGGATGTTTTTATTATAAACTGCTCTTTTTCCAAGTTTAGACAAAGCTTCTTTTGTCTAAACTTGGTTTGATGAGTTTATAATTGAGTTACAATTGGCAGATAATCTGCACCATCATATAACCTAGGCGTGTTTTCAAATTGACTTTTAGGTATAGGTTATCTGCATGAAATTATGATAATTCTTTAATAAATTATTATTTCAAAACACTAAAAGGAATAAGTAATGAAGTAAGTAATAAATTTTTCAATAGCATAATGTCAAGACTTCAAAGAAGTCTTTAAATTATGCCTCATACCTCAAAACAAAATCCTTTAAAATGCAGCCGTTTTATTTGTTTTTCCAAATGTTTTTGGCCATTTTGAATGGTCTTCGTCAGGAACAGAAAAATCAAATGATTCTGCTTTTACTTTCTATAACAAACTTTCTTTTGGAACATTTAAACATGTTTTAAACATTTAAACCTAGATGGCAAAAACATTTAAGCCATGTTTTTGCCATCTAAGAGACTTCCTAATGAGCAAGATTGGAAATTCAGAAAACATGAAAAAAACAGGTACTGGAATAGACGCATCTGGCTACATATTCATCGATCTTTAACTTTAATGAAATAACTTACACACAACACAGAGGAGTGGCAATAAAAAGTCCTGTTTCAGGTACATTATGCAAGATGGTCCTAAGGACTTTAGAGAAAGTCATTTTACTGAAATATGCAGTACACATGCTAGTATATGCATGATATGTTGACAACGTCTTGATTATCGATGTCAAACATTCAACAATTCATCAGAGATGTCAATTCCAACCAATTTGGCCTAGAGCTTGAACTAGAGCAAGAGATTGATAAAACTGTACATTTTCAGACATAGCAATAGAAGTAGAGAATGGAGGAGAAATCACTACAAAAGTTTACAGAAACCCGACTTATAACCCGCTATTTATACCATAAATCTTCCATGACCCTGCACGCAATAAAAAAGCAGCGTTCTGGGCTCTTATAAAGAGAGCATACACACACTGAAACAAACCTCAAGACAGAATTAGAGAATTAGATCACATCAAAGAACTAATTAGCACTGTGGTGTCATCCAGAATATGATAAAGGCCATTATTAACAAAACAAGAATACATGATAATGAAGGTAATGAGCGGGAAAGAATAATACACTATGTTGGAATACATGGCACCCCTAAGCAAAATTTACAAAGAAATAGGAGCAATAACAAACAAGAAGATTATTTTTAAAAGGAATCCAACAATATACCAAATGCTGTGTACAGACAAGCAAGGTATAATTCTATAAACTCTTGGTACAGAAGCTGATACCAGGAGTTTATAGAATACTAGTACAAGATGAAAGGCAACGAAAGAGCTGTACTATATACATTGGAGCCACAGGGAGGTCATTGAAAGAAAGGATAAAAGAGCATTAAAGGAACATACAGAATGAGCAGCCAGTAACAGTAACACTAGCAACATATGTTATAGCAGGCCCAACAGAGGTCATAGTGGACTGGGAAAGAGCTAAAATAATACAAAAGATTCAGGACAAGAGACATCTAAAATATGCTGAAGCATGGCAAATACATAAGACATCAGGAAGGATTAGAGATAAACTACAGAGTCGAGTAAAGTCTCAGCAGTGTGGAGAGTGGGCATAATATGATAATTTTAGTACAAAATAAAAAAGGGGACAAACAGCAGATAAATTGTTTTTCGTTTTGTACAAACATGCACACTAGATAAGAAAATTCAAATGTTTAAATGTTTCAAAAGAAAGTTTGTTACAGAAAGTAAAAGCAGAATTATTTGATTTCTCTGTTCCTGAGGAAGACCATTCAAAATGGCTGAAAACATTTGGAAAAATGAATAAAAAGGCTGCATTTTAAAGGTTTTTGTTTTGAGGTATGAGTTATATTTAAGTACAGTTACAGAAGAGTTTAAATTATGCTATTGAAAAATTGTGTATCTGAAAAAATATAATATCTGTAATATAAAAATATTTTTCAATAAATATAAATAAACATTTAATACAGCAACTGTTATCTAAACCTAAGTGTAATATAATTGATTTATTTTGATAAGTTTATTATTGTGGTAGTTTCAATTAATGCTCATATCAAATAATTAATAAACTAAGCACTATACAGGTATACCTCGCCTTACGTCGGTAATTGGTTCCAGGAAAACGACGTAAGTCGAAAAACGACGTAAGTCGAATTTACCTGTCTCCGAATCTACTTATCACTAGGAAAGCATTTTAAATAATATATGGTTAATAAAAATCTATTTTAAGCTTACAAACAAATAAATTTTAGTTTTTAATATAGTACAAAAAAAATAATCTAAATTTACGAATGCGTGTACTGTAAATACAGTACATACTTGTATATATTTTAATATGATTTTATGTGCTTTAAACGTTTATCTAGTGATATTACGACTTCAATATTTGTGGCGGACAGACGTAAAGTCGAATAAAATGACTTAAACTTGATTTTTATTTTTCCATATACTTTTTTAACAAGCGACGTATAATCGGGAACGACATAACTCGAAACGACGTAAGTCGAGGTATGCCTGTATATATAGCAGGAGTCCTCAAAATGGCTGATATTGATTCCCAAGGGTTGTTAAGGCATTTTAACAGGTTTAAAATTACTTGTGAGGTCAATTAAATGTGGTTTATTAAAAATTATTAGTCTGATGGATTATATACAGGAGAGTTCAAGATGTAAATTTACATACTAAATAGATTTTTTTCTATGAAAATGGAGTGTGGATTAACATTGGCTCACCAGATTACTTTATTTATTTATTATTATTTCTAATTGTATTAGCAAAAAAGAAGAGGGGGGTTCTTCTTCTTAGCATTGACCCACAGATGTAGGGTCCACTATTCGGATCTACGAATGCCACTTTGATTGAGTACATCGTCTGGGTTCAGGTACAGAGCCCTTAGGTCTTGCATTGATAGCATCTTGCCATCATTGCTTCGGTCTTCCGTATGGCCGGTGGCCATTCACCTCTAGCTGGTAGGCAATATTAGCAACTGTATCTGGGGTTGATTGTCGGATGTGGCCAAACCAGTTCAGGTGTCTCTCTTTCATTTTTGCCTCAATGGGCGTGATGCCAAATTGTTGGCGTATCATGTCATTGGTGATATGGTCAAAGAGGGATACACCAAGCGTCCATGCGAGCCTGTTCGAGTCAATAAAAGGTAATGGAGTCATTGAAAGAGTTGATAGTGTAAAAGTTTGTTGACTACTAATCTGCAGTAAAAAAAGAAAAGCACAAGAACAGCTTTAATTTGAATCTATCCATGAAATTTTTGTATCAAGTTATTTATTAAATTATTTATTACAATGAATTGATAATTTATTTAATATTTACTTTAATATTAATTTTAAGTCTTAATATATACAGTGGTACCTCAGGATACGAAATTAATTCGTTCCGAAACTGAGATCGTATCATGGAAATGTCGTAAGGTGGATCATCTTTTCCCATACGATTACATGTAAAACCAAATAATTCGTTCCAACGCGAAAAACATACTCAAATTAAAGCCAAGTAATACATTTAAAAAAATAACTGTAGTAAGAAAAACAAATGAAAAATGCGAACTAATGTAACGTCGTATGGTGAGTTTTTGTTCGTATCGTGGAGCAAAAATATGTTCGAATTTCATGTCGTATCCTGAAAATTTCGTATGCTGGGGCGTTCGTAACCTGAGGTACCACTGTATTTGGTTTTTTTTTACATTTCAGATTTATGTTTTTGATATTTATTTAAATATATATATTTTTATATGTGCATTTATACATAGAAGACTAAGTTAGTTTTTAATTTTTAACTTTCAGTTCTACTCTTATTGCATTCATCTCTGATTTAGTTGAAAGTTCACCGACCGTCCAACAACATATGATTCAAAATAAGGGCTTTCTTGTCATTAGTTACCTTTTACAAATGGTAAATTTTATTAAAATATTTTATAAAAACTATGTGGAGATATAATTGCTTAAGTATTAATTGTATACTTAATAAAAAGTAAAGTTTTTCCAAGTTAGTTAAATTATTTTCCATATAAAATGTTTGATTATGTTTACAAAAACTAAACTAAATTTTTAACAGTAATGTTTTAAAATTATTTGTAAATTTTTGTCCAAATGGCAATTATATTATTAGGTTTCCGAAGACAAAGTCTGCCCAAAATGGGACCACCTCATGTTTCAGACTACACACACTTCTGGCTACCAGTAGCCTAAAAAGAAAGGTCAGTTGCCAGAAAGTCTGTAGTCTGGAACATGAGATAAATAAATGGTGGTCCCCGTTTTGGGCAGACTTTGTCTTCAGAAACCTAACGTTTTAAAATTAATTTAATCTTAATAGTGAGGTTTATTTAAATTAGCATTAAAATAAACTAAAATTATTTTTTTTTGTAGAAGAGTTTTTTTTTATAGCTTTCTTCTTTTCTAAATAACAAAATAAAAATAAAAAGTAAAAGTTGTTATGTGAAATTAAAAATTGGAATGGTACTTTTAAGTAAGAAAACACGTAAAACAATCCAAGAAAAGTAGTTGATATATTCAGTTAAAATCTAAAATTCTAACTGAATACATCAACTATTTGATATTTTTATTCAAGTTATTGTTTTGGAAAATCATTTAGTTTGTTTAATTAATAATTTGTAAACAATTGTTTTAATGCTAATTACTAAATTTATAATACTTTGAATGGAATGAAAAACAGAAATCTGAAGGTTTAAATGTTTCTGAGCATTCATTGTCAGGAACCTAAGGTAGAGAACATAACTAAATTAAAGTGATAACTTTTGAATTGTTACTGTGGAAAGGTAAGAGTAATTTCAAAATGTAGAATTAATAAGACAGAGAATATTGAATTTAATATAAAACAAATAATTGAAAATAAAATTAAAATCAATATTACTAAAACTAAAGTTAATGAAAATGAACTGGGTGTGGTACCAATGTATAAACTTAAGCAATGTCTGCTTGTTTATAATGAAAATCAAATCATTTTCTTGGGTTAGTGAAAGAATTTAAATTTTGAAAATCTGTTAATTGAAAAATACCAAGACTGAATTGTATTTGTATGTGTAGTGTCTGTATTTTGGTTTTTAATTATTGTATCTTTTCTTGTGCAATAGTCAAATCATATTATTAGCTAAAATATCAAAATATATCAATATATGATATTTGATTTCTGAATAGAATTATTATTAGTTTAATATTATAAATAAAATTGAATACAATTTAAGCTGTTAAATATGTAAATATACAATTATATATTTTAAAAAATGAAAAATGTTCATCTATATTTTATTTGATTTTGTATAATTTTTGAAATGAATTAAAATAACAACAACAAAGACATAATGAAAGATATACTATAATATAAAGTGTAATGCAAATGATGATATATTTTCATATTAAATACATAATTTAGTTAATTAGTATTATTATTATTATATAATTGTCAAGAAAGAATCCAAAATTAATTATTTTTTAAATTTATGTTTCAGGCCTTACGTGATCATATCACTGAAGATGTCCTCAATTCCTTTTTATCTCTAACCAAACATCTTGTAACAGTCAACAACAATAACAGTGAAGTACTTTTGAAACAACTATTAGACCATATATTATTTAATCCGGCATTATGGATATATACACCAACTATAGTATGATTTTAATTATTTATATTATTTTTTATATTTATAATTAAGATTCTTAATTGTATGAGAAAACATATTACATTGATTAAAATATACAAAAAATTTTTAGTAACAAAATAGTATTTAATTATGTTATGCTGAAACATTACTGGAATGAATGCCAAAAGAATCATGTTTTGTTTGAATAGATAGATAACCCAAACTTAGCAAAATAGATAGATACTTAATTTTCAGACTTCATCTAACTTTGGTCTTAAAAAAATGATATGAAATCAAATTTTTCATAATCAAGGTTATATTTTATAATTATAAAGATGGAATTGAAAGTTTCTGAAAATCTTAAATGTGTAGAACTTTTGCTTTTTGAATTAAAGCCTGATAAGTTTGATTGTTTTTTAAATTCTTGTGAAATTGAGATTTAAGTTCAACTCTATGGAAAAAATATATCTTCATCTATTGAAATGTTATATTGTGGCCAAAAGATAATTATTATAATGTAACATTATTGCTATTATTATTACTTTTTCACAAATAAGTGTTATTTTTTAATGACATTTATTTATTTAAATAGGCAGAAATAAGTAATAGAATGTGAATGTTCTTGTTATTGTTTTTATTTTATATTAGGTAAAATTTATATGAATTAGTTATATGCAAATAAAATTTTTCTTTCTTTCTTTTTTTTTTTTGATTCGTTAGTAATATAATTTTCTGAAATTGAATACTACAAAAGTATAACAGTATTCCAATAAAAATAAATCATAAAAAATTGAAAAGGAATTTGTATGTAAATCTTATAGTTTCTTAAGGAAAAATGACCATTAGAAAAATGTAACTTCTAAAAAACTATATTTTTCTAAAAAAACTATATATAAAATTTTTGCACATATTCTGCAAAAATATTTGCAATTGTTAAAATAATGATGAAGATTATTTTCATATTTCTTCTTTTATGTTTATATTTGTTAATTTGTTTATAAATGTTAATTTCAATTTAGTTCTAATTTTTTTAGTAATAATTTTGATTTTTTTGGTGTGATCTTAAGGCAGTTTATCATAACTATTTTGTGATAATGTAGACTTATCACTTTTTTGCCATGGACAGTACTGAAAAATTATCTTTGTGGTTATTTTTATTGTTTTTCTTTTTGTATAATAGTGATTTTAGGATTAAAGAGTTATATATGAGGATATATATGTTTGAGCATATTTATATTCAAAAAAATTATTTATATGTTGTATTTACTTCTAGAAAATTATTAAAGTCCTGATTCAAAGAGTTTACAGAAATTAATTGATTATTAAGTGTATGTTTTTCAGAAAATTTTAGCACTCCACTTTTAGCTGTAAACTATAAAAGTGTAAACAGACTGATCAATTACTTGTTCCTTCTGTATTAAATCAGTTCAATTAAAGAAACATTTTTTTTCATTACTCCAGTAATGTAATTTAATAATTATTTAAGGAAATAATCGCTTTTGACTATTTTAAATAGCCATCTTTTTAATTATCTATTGTAAAAATACAGAAATTTTACTGTTGAATGTAAAACAATTCAGAATAAAGATATAAAAAAAAAAACAAATGTTAAGTTCACTAAATTTTGTTCTCAGTTTTAATAAACTAATACAAGATTTTTTAAACAAATTTTAAGAAAATAATTCTAATATAGCTGTTAGATAATTTTTTTTGTTTCATTTATAAATTTAAATATTAATTATATATTTAATTGTTATTCATTGCTTAATGTTGTGTGTTTTGGGACTTACTAATTCTGATAAGTTACAATATATTATACTACACACTTATAATATACTATGAAAACTTTGCTTACAGTAATTGCAATTTGGTTATATGTATTATCATCTTTGGGTAAATAGGCATTTTTGAACTGTTTTTGCATCATTATTTTCAATCCATAATTGATAATGCACAGTCATTATTAGTTATCACTCCTAACCAATGCTTTAAATGTTAAACCTTACTTGTTTTAATCATTATTTCTTGAGTATAGTAGTTTAAATTATTGGCATTTATTGTTTCAATTATATATTATTTGTTAAAGATTGTAGCAGCAGACAAACAACCCTGTATGAATTACTATTAATTAATAATTATAATTAATGAATCTTCATGTTGTATATTTGATAGTTGTTTTAACATGTTTTTTATGACAATAAAACCAGACTTTTTACTAACTGTAGTCTTATTTACTTAGTTATTGGTCAGTTATTAATATAGATTGGTCTCAAAGTTTTTACAGTAAGTGGATTTATTGTAGTAGACTCATAATTTATAGTTGGTTCAGCATATAGTTAAATTATTTTAAGATGGACTCTTCAAATAAAATAAGATACATTGTTTGATAAATATTCATTTTATGATGAATTTAGGATTTCTGTAACAGGATCATGTAGATTAAAATGGATGGTAGATAAGCCAATCAATGATGCATTTTGGATAAAATTTTGGATAACTTGCATTTATTATTTAAAACAACAATTCAGTAAAAAAAAAAAGCAAGCAAAGGAAAATGTCTTTGGCATTGGTTTTTTAATTTAAGTTTTTGCATATTTTAATATTAATTAATTTATTTATTTAGTATTATGTATAAAATTAATACTTTCAGTGTAAAAATCACTTTTTAGAAAAGAGTATAGCTTATTTCTGACATGATAAACATTTTGACTTTCAAAGTCTTGGAACAAATTACCAAAATACAATACAGTATTAATCTGTTCCATACANATTTATTTAGTATTATGTATAAAATTAATACTTTCAGTGTAAAAATCACTTTTTAGAAAAGAGTATAGCTTATTTCTGACATGATAAACATTTTGACTTTCAAAGTCTTGGAACAAATTACCAAAATACAATACAGTATTAATCTATTCCATACACTTTATTGTATTATGGAGTTGTTGTAAAACAGGTGTTCCAATTGCATTTTAGTTTTATATGGTTGAATGCTGTTTTAATAAAAGTGCCTTTGTATTTTATAGTATAAAATATGCAGATAAATTTTTTCTGAAAGTAAATTTTCTTTGAAATATGCAAACAAAAAGTTATTTTGACTTTTAACTTCAAGAGCTGTTAGATATTATCCAAGGAATAAAATGTGTTTGAAAAATATACAAAATACTCTTATTTTAATGATTAACATATGTAATTAAAATTATTTGGAAACTAACAATGTAAAAGCATAATTTCATTATAAAAATGTATATGCCATTTTGGTTGTTGGTGACCACATTACTGATTCAAGATCAAGCAACTATAATGGCAACTAAACATTTTTGAAGTAAATTTTATGAATCAGGAGATGGTTAAAAATAAACAAAAAAAGAATTAAATTAATTTGTGTTAATATTTAATTAGTTAAAAATGCAACGTTTTTTTATTTTAACCATATTTTTCAAGTAATACATTGTGCTTAAAAATAATTTATGCAATTGTCTTTGTTATATAAACTGTATAAAATCTGTAATGTTTGAAAATATGTTTAATTAATATTGTATAACTTTCATTTTTTTATTTAAATTTTAACTTTTTAGGTCCAAACAAAGTTATACACATACCTTGCAACAGAATTTCTTGCTGATACCCAAATATACAGTAATGTTAGGAGGATTAGTACTGTACTTCAAACTATGCATACATTAAAATATTATTATTGGGTTGTCAATCCAAGGAACAAAAGTGGAATAACTCCAAAAGGTTTAGGTAAGTATTTTAATTATAAACTTTAAGTATTAGCTATATGTCTGAGACTTTAAGAAGTGCTTATCAGAAAATTATGAAAAAATTTTATATGAGTTGAAAAATTAATAATTTTCTAATTTACATACATTAGGCATTTTTGTGTACCTTTCACAGTTTTCTTAAAAAAATATTTCTTGTAACTGTGGAATATCGTGTTGTATATTTGCATTAATAACTAAAAATATCAGTTGCAGCTGATCACACTTGTTTTAATTCAGCTCCTTTATTGAAGATTTGTTTATTTTTTTGTTAGAAAAATTAATATGAAGAAATTTAGTATACTGTTTTTTAAGTTGATATTTGTTTTCTATCAATAACATGGCATTTTGTAAGTATGACTGTTAAATAATGATTCTAAAAAGTTTTTATGTTTCCTTTTGTAATCTATACCTTATTAATTAATATTGTTTAGCATCATCATACAAAGAGCTGGTACAGAAAACAAATTGTATTCAATTTTTCTGGCAGTGTTCCATACTATGCATAACATTTTCTAAAGTAGCATATAGTCAAAACAAGTAATATTCCTGTTGTTTATAGTGCTTTGTACATTATTATTCTTTTGTATGCTCTTTGCTTTGTTTGGAGAAACTGGGTATCAATTTACAGGAAGTTATGTGTATCAATTTCGTGCGTCAATTTTTTCTCGTAATTAACTAGTTGGTGGCAATTTAAGCACAGATTGGCTTTTTATCTACATAAACTAAGTCTGTTTTAATGAATAAGATCTTTGTTACCTCCCATATTTTAAAATTTACCCACAAAACTCCTCCTTCCCATGTTAAATCTGTGGGAGATCCTACTTTTGTTTATTGGACGATAAAATCTTCATTCACACACTTGTTGAGCTCAGATTGGTATATTATAGCTAAATGACTATCTTTCAATGAATAAGCATCGACTTGGGTTTGTGGGGTGGGAATTTTCATGCAAAACACCATGCCTTCTAGGAGTACTTTGTCAGCTACAATCATAAATCATTATTCTCATCTATTTTTAGCTTCAATTTAGTAAATTTATATGTATATTTATCCTATTTAACGAATAAGAGTGTTTTTAGAACCAGTGCTTCTATTATGGATTATTTGTTTATAAAAGCATTTAAAAGGAAATATTATTTATATGTTTATACAACCTCTTATACAGTCTTACTCCATAACCTTAGTACTGTACAGTAGACAATTATATTTCATTTTGCTGGAAAATATATAAATCTTTCATTTTGTTACATCTGTTATTGCACAAGAGAGAGCTGTATGTAAGATTATTTTATTTTAAAGTAATAAAATAAAATAAAAATAAATTTTGTATGTATATATACATACAAAATTTAATTATTATAGTGTAAAAGTTTGTTGACTACTAATCTGCAGTAAAAAAATAAAAGCACAAGAACAGCTTTAATTTGAATCTATCCATGAAATTTTTGTATCAAGTTATTTATTAAATTATTTATTACAATGAATTGATAATTTATTTAATATTTACTTTAATATTAATTTTAAGTCTTAATATATACAGTGGTACCTCAGGATACGAAATTAATTCGTTCCGAAACTGAGATCGTATCATGGAAATGTCGTAAGGTGGATCATCTTTTCCCATACGATTACATGTAAAACCAAATAATTCGTTCCAACNTATTTACTTAGTTATTGGTCAGTTATTAATATAGATTGGTCTCAAAGTTTTTACAGTAAGTGGATTTATTGTAGTAGACTCATAATTTATAGTTGGTTCAGCATATAGTTAAATTATTTTAAGATGGACTCTTCAAATAAAATAAGATACATTGTTTGATAAATATTCATTTTATGATGAATTTAGGATTTCTGTAACAGGATCATGTAGATTAAAATGGATGGTAGATAAGCCAATCAATGATGCATTTTGGATAAAATTTTGGATAACTTGCATTTATTATTTAAAACAACAATTCAGTAAAAAAAAAAAGCAAGCAAAGGAAAATGTCTTTGGCATTGGTTTTTTAATTTAAGTTTTTGCATATTTTAATATTAATTAATTTATTTATTTAGTATTATGTATAAAATTAATACTTTCAGTGTAAAAATCACTTTTTAGAAAAGAGTATAGCTTATTTCTGACATGATAAACATTTTGACTTTCAAAGTCTTGGAACAAATTACCAAAATACAATACAGTATTAATCTATTCCATACACTTTATTGTATTATGGAGTTGTTGTAAAACAGGTGTTCCAATTGCATTTTAGTTTTATATGGTTGAATGCTGTTTTAATAAAAGTGCCTTTGTATTTTATAGTATAAAATATGCAGATAAATTTTTTCTGAAAGTAAATTTTCTCTGAAATATGCAAACAAAAAGTTATTTTGACTTTTAACTTCAAGAGCTGTTAGATATTATCCAAGGAATAAAATGTGTTTGAAAAATATACAAAATACTCTTATTTTAATGATTAACATATGTAATTAAAATTATTTGGAAACTAACAATGTAAAAGCATAATTTCATTATAAAAATGTATATGCCATTTTGGTTGTTGGTGACCACATTACTGATTCAAGATCAAGCAACTATAATGGCAACTAAACATTTTTGAAGTAAATTTTATGAATCAGGAGATGGTTAAAAATAAACAAAAAAAGAATTAAATTAATTTGTGTTAATATTTAATTAGTTAAAAATGCAACGTTTTTTTATTTTAACCATATTTTTCAAGTAATACATTGGGCTTAAAAATAATTTATGCAATTGTCTTCGTTATATAAACTGTAAAAATCTGTAATGTTTGAAAATATGTTTAATTAATATTGTATAACTTTCATTTTTTTATTTAAATTTTAACTTTTTAGGTCCAAACAAAGTTATACACATACCTTGCAACAGAATTTCTTGCTGATACCCAAATATACAGTAATGTTAGGAGGATTAGTACTGTACTTCAAACTATGCATACATTAAAATATTATTATTGGGTTGTCAATCCAAGGAACAAAAGTGGAATAACTCCAAAAGGTTTAGGTAAGTATTTTAATTATAAACTTTAAGTATTAGCTATATGTCTGAGACTTTAAGAAGTGCTTATCAGAAAATTATGAAAAAATTTTATATGAGTTGAAAAATTAATAATTTTCTAATTTACATACATTAGGCATTTTTGTGTACCTTTCACAGTTTTCTTAAAAAAATATTTCTTGTAACTGTGGAATATCGTGTTGTATATTTGCATTAATAACTAAAAATATCAGTTGCAGCTGATCACACTTGTTTTAATTCAGCTCCTTTATTGAAGATTTGTTTATTTTTTTGTTAGAAAAATTAATATGAAGAAATTTAGTATACTGTTTTTTAAGTTGATATTTGTTTTCTATCAATAACATGGCATTTTGTAAGTAAGACTGTTAAATAATGATTCTAAAAAGCTTTTATGTTTCCTTTTGTAATCTATACCTTATTAATTAATATTGTTTAGCATCATCATACAAAGAGCTGGTACAGAAAACAAATTGTATTCAATTTTTCTGGCAGTGTTCCATACTATGCATAACATTTTCTAAAGTAGCATATAGTCAAAACAAGTAATATTCCTGTTGTTTATAGTGCTTTGTACATTATTATTCTTTTGTATGCTCTTTGCTTTGTTTGGAGAAACTGGGTATCAATTTACAGGAAGTTATGTGTATCAATTTCGTGCGTCAATTTTTTCTCGTAATTAACTAGTTGGTGGCAATTTAAGCACAGATTGGCTTTTTATCTACATAAACTAAGTCTGTTTTAATGAATAAGATCTTTGTTACCTCCCATATTTTAAAATTTACCCACAAAACTCCTCCTTCCCATGTTAAATCTGTGGGAGATCCTACTTTTGTTTATTGGACGATAAAATCTTCATTCACACACTTGTTGAGCTCAGATTGGTATATTATAGCTAAATGACTATCTTTCAATGAATAAGCATCGACTTGGGTTTGTGGGGTGGGAATTTTCATGCAAAACACCATGCCTTCTAGGAGTACTTTGTCAGCTACAATCATAAATCATTATTCTCATCTATTTTTAGCTTCAATTTAGTAAATTTATATGTATATTTATCCTATTTAACGAATAAGAGTGTTTTTAGAACCAGTGCTTCTATTATGGATTATTTGTTTATAAAAGCATTTAAAAGGAAATATTATTTATATGTTTATACAACCTCTTATACAGTCTTACTCCATAACCTTAGTACTGTACAGTAGACAATTATATTTCATTTTGCTGGAAAATATATAAATCTTTCATTTTGTTACATCTGTTATTGCACAAGAGAGAGCTGTATGTAAGATTATTTTATTTTAAAGTAATAAAATAAAATAAAAATAAATTTTGTATGTATATATACATACAAAATTTAATTATTATAGTGTAAAAGTTTGTTGACTACTAATCTGCAGTAAAAAAATAAAAGCACAAGAACAGCTTTAATTTGAATCTATCCATGAAATTTTTGTATCAAGTTATTTATTAAATTATTTATTACAATGAATTGATAATTTATTTAATATTTACTTTAATATTAATTTTAAGTCTTAATATATACAGTGGTACCTCAGGATACGAAATTAATTCGTTCCGAAACTGAGATCGTATCATGGAAATGTCGTAAGGTGGATCATCTTTTCCCATACGATTACATGTAAAACCAAATAATTCGTTCCAACNAATAATGAATTTATTATTAATATGATTTTGGATAATTATAAATATAAAATATAAAATTTATTAACACAACAAAATGATTAATAAAAGAGCAACAAAAAATAAAAATTAGCATAAGATTTTTATTTATTTAATGAATGACTATTATTGATGCTGTAATGAAATACGGTACTTAAAAATTAAGTTGTGTTAACTTTTATTTTGATCAAATATTTAAGTTTCATTTATTTAAAGTATTTGAATATTTTTATGCATAATGTATTTTTTAATTTTTAAGTTTGAAATTACTAGAAAGCTATATTTTCTGAAAAATGTAAGAAACAAGAAAATTTATTAAAACATTTAGTTGTAAAAGTTTAAATTTAAAGAATGATCATGATTTTATTTTATTTCACTTAAAAATTACTACAAATTTACATAAATACACATCTCAATATATCATCGTCACATAAATACACATTGCTTGCTGTGCGGTGTGCTACCAATTGCGCACCGCATGGCAAGCAGAGGCTATGGGTTCAAGCCCTGTCTCAGGACAGTTATTTTCTAAATTATTTATTAAATTATTAAAATTATAATTATTAATTTAGATAAGAGATGGTGCCTAACATTTACTTTTAGTACCAAATTTATTTGTAATAATTATTTGATTATAGCCATATTATTTAGTTGGTCATTGGATGATTAAATTTACATAACATAATAAAATTGAAATCTATTAAAAAATTGAATTTAAAACAATCAGTTTAATAAATTTATAATTTAAAACATTTCTAGGACATTAGATATTATTATTTTAAAATATTTCTTTTTCACTAATCACACTACTACTAGGACTTTTCCAGCACCAGTTTAATCAAAAGAAACATTTTCAACCTTGTTCAGAGGTCTGCCTCATGTTAAAAATGTATTAAAATACAAACTGAATAAAAGAACTGTATTCTAGTGGTAGAACTATAACTGCTATTTTTAAATTTACAAATTTTGAAAAACAAATGATTTATGTATTTTAAAAGTTCTACAAACAAACAATTTACATATTATTACATATGCATAAATTATTTCTTTGTAGAACTTTTAAAATACATAAATCATTTGTTTTTCGAAATTTGTAAATTTAAAAATAGCAGTTATAGTTCTGCCACAGAACTCAGTTCTTTTCTTTAATTTGTATTTTAATATGTTTTTAACATGAGGCAGACCTCTGAATGAGGTTGAAAACATTTGTTTTGATTAAACTAGTGCTGGAAAAGTGTTTAAGTAGTAGTGTGATTAGTATATTTATTTCTCTCACTATTTCAGTAAACATGTATTTAGATTAATTTTAATTTATAATATGCTAAATATTAATTTTGGTTGCTTAGTTTCAGTATTAAGGTTTTTGAGTCCAGACTAATGGCAGAATTATTCTTAACTGGTTATTCATAGTGATTATCATTTCATCATTGTCCAGATTAATTTTGAAATTTAAATATATATTTTTAATGAAAATGCATTATATATAAAATTATATTTATTTTTGTTGAATTTTTCCGTCCGATGGCTGGATTATTATTAAAATATATCAAAGACAAGTCTGTCCAATAAGGAGCACCGTTTATTTTGCGTTTAAGACATACACAATAATGGCCTGTCGCCATTATTGTGTATGTCTTAAACGCAAAATAAATGGTGCTCCTTATTGGACAGACTTGTCTTTGATATATTTTAATTATTTTGTTTGTTTTTCTATGTGAGGCCGCAAACTTTCCGAACAGCCCTCGTAGACAGCTTTATGCCTCATAAAGTATTTTTCTGAGGTCTGTCTTATCAGGTAAATTACTGTACACAGTGTATTCATTAATTTTCATTTTCATGTAGTAAAGGCTCTATGCCTTCATAAAGGATGTACTTTTCCTTTGTTTAAGGGTATTTGGGCAGTTTATTCTCTGTTGTATTCTCAAGTAAACAATACATACAAATACAGTACAGGTAGCTTTCGGTTTACATCGCAGTTCCGTTCCTACAAAAGCCGGCGCAAATCGAATTGGCATAAAATGAACCTGTATTTACAGTGAGGTATAGGGTTAGGTTCTACATAAGTGAAAAATAAGCTAATAATTTTGTTTATTAATACAATATAATACAAAATACATATAGATTTAATTTTTAAAATATATTTTATCATAAAATAAAGTAAAATGTTTTTATTTAAAAATTTTAGTTTCGAATTTTTTACATTTTTTGGAAAAAAGTATCCATCTTTAATTGTTTACATTTTTGATTTCTTTCATTAAGAATTTCGGAATATGGCCGCATATGATGCTCCTTTTTACATTTGCACTTCGCTCCCAACATTGTCTAACAAACTTCATCTGTCAAACTTTCCTTAGTTGAAAGGATATGTTAACCCGATGTAGAGCTACAGATGAGCGAAGACACTGATTGGTCGACCACCGGTCGCCATAGTGCATATATAAGGTCAGTTTGAGCGGGAAAATTCAAGGTGGCTAAGGAGAGATAAATATTGTCTGGCCAACAAGAAGTAGATTCGTCTTACTAACGATAATTTGTGATCGCCGGAAGTGCTATTGCGTCGTAAAGTGTTTTCCTGAATGAACTGATATGGGATACATTCATTGGTGCTATGGATTCGGATACCATTTATTGGACTATTAAGTTTAATATCTTGACTTGTGGGTACCTAAACGTTTAGTATTTTAATATTAATTTAATGCAAATGTATACATACCCAATAATATTAAACAGAAAAAATAAGTATATTTAATAAAAATCTTTGTTTTAACGAGTGTACAATGTCGCGGCTTGGTAAATACGTCAACACTGAAATGAAAATCAGTCTAGCATAGGGAAAATCGGGGAATTACACCTCAAAATGGCAAATTGGGCAGCATCGTTATTGTGAATCGGCGTAAATTGAACTGGCGTAAACCAAGTGCTACCTGTACAGTATTTTCTGAGGAAACACTCATACTTATGTTTTTTAACCCCATTCCCGATAACCCGGCATTTTCACACACTCGGCCACCCTTTGGTCCACATTAGGCCGAGTTTTCGAGACTCTATAACTTTTTAAAACTTTCTACATTTAAAAATATTATAAATTTACATTTTATATAAAATGCATTTGAAACGCTTGCAATGTTTTTACTTACAAAGTTTATATTATAATCTAAAATTGTTTCAAAGTGAACAAAATGTTTTTTGTTTGGTTTATTTTACAGAAGGTCCACGTCCAAATCAAAATGAAATAGTTTCCATTCGAGCACATATTCTACTCTTCTTAAAACAACTTATCTTAAAGGGAAATGGTGTAAAAGAAGATGAATTACAGAGTATTCTAAATTATCTTACCACTGTACATGAAGTAAGATTTTATAATTACTCTTTATTTTTTTCAATTAGGAAAATATTATTTGTTTTTGTAATTTAAAAAATTAATAATTTAATTTTTATTTTACACGGAGTGAAAAATAGTATGTCAAAAAGTAAAGCACAATAAAGTTTTAATGAACAAATGGATTTTAATTAGTCCAAAATTACATTATACAGTATTAAATTCATTTTAATGTCAGATATTTTTAAAGTGCATTCATATGATTCAGCACAAAATTCAAGTGTTTTTTGAAACCCCTAAAAATCCCTTTCTACTGTGTCACTTTTGATAGTCTTAACAACCTTTTTAATTGCAGTCTTTAATTGTTCTGCATTCTTTGGCTGTTTCTTGTAACAATTATCTTTAATATAACCCCAGAGAAAAAAGTCAGAAGGGTTTAAGTCAGGGCTCTAAGGAAGCCGTTCAACCCTACTATCCACAAATTTGGGTCACTTAATCCAATAACACAATCCTGATACATGTTGAAAATACTTTTGAACATATCTTGGGTGTGGTAGGGAGTAGCACCATCTTGTATAAAGTGATATTTCTGGACAAATGATTTTTCCTTGCCCAAGGAAAAAATTGGTCTCCAAGAAACTTTTATATATGGGACCTGTGATTGGAGTATCAATGAAATTTAAGTTTTTGGCACTTGACGTAATTGCTGCCCATTCTATGATCTTCACTGGATGCAGTGGCTTGGACACAGTGACTTCTGGATTCAGTGTTCCCCAAAATCGAAAGTTTTGCTTATTAACATATCCATCAAGATGAAAATGTGCTTTGTCCATAAATATTATTTTTTGGTATCTAATGTCCTGTTCACAAACATTTCTGTCACTTTATTAGCAAAGCTAACTCAAGTTGTCATCATACCTTGGCTAAATTTCTGATGAATAGTAATTTTGTAAGAATGCTTCTTGACAAAATATTTTAGGATAATGAGAGAGATTTTTTGTTGATGCCCAGTGTTTGTGATGCCTTCCTGATGGAACTGCTTGGATTGACTTAAAAAAATTTTGAAATTTCTTTAGCCTTTCAGGAGTCAAAACCAAAATTTCAGGGCTTGGGTTGTTACGGCTACAATCATCTAGGGTACCATGTTCAAGGAACTTTTGAATCACCCTATTGATATCAAATTACTTTGTTTAGTATATGAGATACAGGAACTTAAAATTTGACATTATCATTTAGAAATGAAATGCCCTAAGGAATGAAATTTTGTTATTAGGGTTTCTGGATATATCAAACTTAGTATAGTATGAAATGCCCTAAGTGCTATGGCTATCTGTTCATCATTCTCATAATATGCCTTCACAAGAAAAAGCTTCTGGTCCTTCCTTAGATCAATCATCTTGTGCTCATTTAATTAAGTTGAGTTAATTATTGCGTCATTAAAAAATGGCTCTTGTTTACTAAACACATCGATACCTTTAAGTGTTGCTACCTTTCTTTAATTATGTCATAAAATGCTAATTTGATTTATTGATAAAATGCTAACTTATGATTTATTAAAGTTATAATTTTTGTTAATTAAAGAATTTGTTAATTATTGATATAAGAACTGCCTTAAATATGTTAATTTATATTATGTATTTCCAGTTATTTCTATTATGTCATAATTTGAATAAGATTAAAAAACTTTTTAAATTTAATATTGTTAGTTTTAATCAGATGTATCTTTGTTATATGATCGAGGTTATTTACACAACATTCTTCTAATTTACACTAAAAGTAAAAATGATGATAACATAAAATAAATGTACTATTCAAATAACATGTAAAAAATTATTCCATTGTATATTTTAAATTACAAAAAGTCTTAACATATACAGATCAAAACAATTAAGCGAGTATATGACTTTGGTAAAAATGTGCAAGCCAGTGAAATAAATGAATATTTGACAACAATTTGGCTCAAACACATGTTTTTTCCACATATTACTGTATATCTTACTGTATCTTATATAACAGATTCTTTGGTGTCATGATGTTTCTTGCCATTGACATTCTGATGTTCCTTGGCATGAAACTTTGCTTTATCATCAAACATATCTTCCTCATTTTGAACAAACTTCTGGTCTGAAGGATTCAACTTTCTTGATTGGAGATGGTCTCTCTCAGTTGACAGTCAAGCTATAGAAGAACTATCACTCAACTGAAGAAGATGCACATGAATGATTCTCTCAATTCTAGAAGAAAGCACGATCATGACGAACACCCAATTGAGGAAGATCATCTCCAATTTGGAAGGTTGAATCCTTCAAACCAGAAGTCAGTTCAAAATCAGAAAGATGTGTTTGATGATGTAGCAAAATATCATGCTGAAAAACAATGGAATTTTACATGACATCTGACATGAAAAATTATTTAAGACAAACAATTCTAAATGTGACGTCTTTTATTCTCCTAACTGTTTTGATCAGTGTACGAGGGGGCTTCAAAAAGTTTGTGGAAAAAGGATAGTATGAAAAAACTATTTCAGTTATGATGTTTATTTTTCAACATATGCTCCGTTAAGGTCGATACACTTCTGCAAACGTTGATACCAGTCTTTTAGAACTGAGGGTCTTGTGATCTGAACCATGTCAGAGCAGCTCTCTTCACATCTTCAACTGACAGAAAATTGATGCCTTTCAATGATTTTTTCAACTTTGGAAACAAAGAGAAGTCGGATGGGCCCTAAATCAGGACTGTAAGGGGGATGTCGGGTGATTTCCCATCAAAATTCACGTAGCACAACTCTTGTTTGACGAGCCCTGTGAGCAGGTGCATTGTCATGGTGGAAGAGGACACGTTTATACAGCTTTCCAGGGCGTTTTTCCGAGATTCTTTTGGACAGTTTTCTCAAAATGCCTTCATAATAAGCAAATGTAATTGTCTTCTTGTTCTCAAGGAAGTCAACTAGCAAAATCCCCTCTGCATCCCAGAAGACAGTGGCCATGACCTTTCCTCTTGAACGTTCAGATTTTGTTTTGATTGGTCCACTTCCACCCCTGCACACCCAAAATTCAATCAAAGCCACTGCTTTGATTGAATTTTGTCCTTGGGATTGTACTGGTAGGGCCATGTTTCATCCCCTGTCACAGTTCTTTGCAGAAAAGCTTCAGAGTCCCCATCCCACTTGCTCAAAATTTCCATTGAAAGATCTGCCCTCGTTTGCTGCTGATCTGGGCGCAACAGCCTTGGGACCCATCTAATGGAAAACTTGCTTAGTCCCAAACTCTCCACAAGAATTTTGTGTGCAGAACCCACAGAGATGTTGAGTGTATCTGCTACCGACACAGTGGTTATTCGTCTATCCTTTTTTATCAAGTCACGGACGGCATCAATGTTTTCCTCACAAACTGATGTTGTTGGCCTGCCACTGTGTGGCTCATCTTCAACCGTGGTTTTTCCACTTCTGAAGTGACTTATCCATTTGTAGGTTGTTGACTTCTTTGGGGCATTATCACCATAAACTTGTTCCACAGCATCAATGATTTGCTTATTCTTCCAACCAAGTTTCACCATGAACTTTGTTTGTTCTGGTTTCGATTTTGTTGGATTTCATGTTGCTTGAATGATGCCTGATTTTCAACTGGCGGCGCTGTGTTCTTACCTGCATTTAAGGGTTCATGTTTGAATATGTTATAACATGTTAGTACAAGAATGTTCAGGTTCATTAAAATCAAAATCCTTCCAAACAATTTTTAGTTACGGACTTTTTCCATGAACTTTTTGAAGCACCCTCATATGTATTCATTTTTTTAAATAAGTTTTTTAACATTTTAATCATAATATTTGTTTGCTAAATCTGATTTTGATTATGAAATTATAATTTTTGTAATTTAATCTTCAGGATGAAAATTTACATGATGTACTGCAAATGTTAATGTCGTTGATGTCAGAACATCCAGCATCAATGGTTCCTGCTTTTGATGTTAAATATGGAATAAGGTAAAATTATATTGATTTGTATCTTTATTTTTTTTTATTTGATTGTAAATTAATGTATTTTTTTATTGTAACATATGGCCAAGCAATTATTGTGATAAGGAATATAAAATCTTTATTTTTTGTATTTCATGTTGCAATTTTTGTTCTTAATTTTACAATTTAAAGACCCCAAAAAATTTATAATAATAGTAATACTTTAAGTAGTGAAATAACTTAAACTTTCAAATAATTTTATAATAAAGAGTAAGAATAAAACTTAGTGGAGATAATAACTTTTAATAAAAATGATATTTCATTGATGTTAAAATTATACCAAAATAGTCTTCTTGTCTAGTAATAAATAAATAAAAACTATATGCCAATAAACAATGGCATAAATTATATTTGTTAATTCTTCTGTGCATTGTTAGTAAATTACAGTGGGTGATTGGTTAACGAACATAATCCGTTCCAAGACTTTGTTCGCTATCCAAATTGTTCGTTAACCGATTATCGATTTACCATAGGTTTCTATGGGAATTTGATTAATTGGTTCTGGAGACCCTCCAAAATAAAAAAATATATACTTTCTTACTACCTTTATTTATATGTATTGATGATAATAAAAATACATATATATATAGTCTTGCGTTTTTATTAGTCGTGTTTTTTTTTCTGTTTGAAAGGGTTAAAGAATCTGTCTAATGTCGATTGCTTTTCTCTCTTCTTCAGGATTTTTCGTAAGTAATTAATAGCATTGCAATTGCAGAAATCCCCAAGCCTTAACCTGGTTTGGATGCCATTCTAAGACGGTTGTTCTGACATCCTCCCACTTCTTCAAAGGATCTTTAATATAAGATATCGGCATTAATCCTCTTTTTCAGAAGAAAACATATCTCGCCGAGTTTCTTGGTGTTCTTCATTCAAGAGTTCTTGGCGTTCTTCTGTCGTCAGATCCATTTCGTGTTCCATTATGAACTGTTCGATATTCTTTATTTCTCAGATGTGATTTTTGTTACTCCTTTAGCTGCTTGAGTCTTCTTGATTATACAGTATGTTTCTTAAATAAGATTGAACTTCAGCCTACTGTAGACCTGTTTACGCCATACTGCTCAGCAACATTAGGCATCTTCTGCCCACTCTCTACCTTTGCTATTATACTCTCACCTTTCAAAAAGAAAAACAGACGCAAAACTTAACGAGTGCCTACCCGACAGTGTCACGAATACATAAAATAATTATTTTGTCAGAAAAATAAAAGGCTGAAATTACAAGGAAGAGTTTCAAAGTTTGCAGGAATAATATCCGATCGGTATATATCGGCTTGAGCGTCGATGTTGATGTCTCCCACACTCCGAAAAGTTTCGAATTGTTGCCCGAGGACAAGGGAAGACCAATCAGTATTCATTAATTTACGTTGCTTCTTCTTGTGTTTGTTCTGTGGGGTGTTCGTTATCCGATCATGTGTTCATTGTCCGAACATAAAAATCTTTCGCGAAAGTGTTCGTTATCCAATTTGTTCGTTATGCGACCTGTTCGTTAACCGATCACCCACTGTATTTAGAACCAAAACTGCTATAACACAACTTTTGTGATCATTAAATTTAAATCAGTTTTTATTTTGCTTTATTGAAATTTACATGTAAATAAATAAAGAAAACATTTTTGAATCTTTTCAAACCTATTCAAGTTATTCCATTTAGTTTGAAAATTTTTAAATTATACAATATATTTTTCTCCATGAATTATGTTTTTGTAAAAAAGACTTAAGTTATTACAATGGAGGATTTAGTTCTAAAGTAAACTAAGATTAAATTAAATTTTATTTAATTGTTGAATTTAAGTTATTTGTAATTTTCCTGTGTTTTATGTGTGGAAAGATAATACATTATACATTGCATTAAGTATATATAATACTCATCAGTATATTTTGATTTCTTTTTTAAGACAAATTAAAATAATAAATCCTAAACAATTTGCTATCTCTAAAATAATTTATGTGAGCTTTGTTCACTTTAAAATTGAATCTTCCAATTATTTCCAAGATTTTTAATTTTGTAAGTACCATAAAGTTATGTATTTTATAATTATTCCCAAAGAGAATATTTCAAACATGCTATATTAAGAACTGTCATTTATTACATTTTTTTTTTTTTGGTTTTGAATTAATTGCTTAATTGTAAATTTTGTTTTTAATGTGTGGTTCTTTTATTTCTATCAACTTTTATGTTTGAAAAAGTCATTGATGTGAAAAAATATGAAAGAATTTTACAAAAATCTTTTCATTCACTATATGGCCTCGAATAAATAAATCAAAGTTCTTTATTCTTAAATTAAAACTGGTTGATTTCAGAAAATAGTTCTAATTATAGAATTAAGTGAATTTTCACCAATTAGAATACTAGTATAATTAAATGTTTGTATTCTAAGATAATATTATTAAGAGATAAAATAAGATGTTTATAAACATGTCTAGAATATAGGAAAAACTTATTATGGCTATAACGAAAGTTTAATTTATTTTTTCATAGATAAATTCTAAACTTAATCATACGTTTTTACTTTTATATAGGTTTAAAATCTTATAATATTTTCACATTTAAGCATAAATATATTTTAATTTTAATGAATTAGTTTTAAAATATATTTTACATCACTCATTTATGATTTATTTATAAGCTGAGTATGGCTATATGGTATTGGTAGTAATGTTGTTGAAAAAGAATAAATTTTGGTTTTAGACATTTTAGTTTTAAGATTTAAAACAGTCTTATAAAAATAGATAAAATAAATTTTTGTGAAATCAATTGAAAAGATACAAATCAAACAGTAATAGTTTTCAGTTTGATTTTTTCCCCCTATCAAGATGTCATTGAAATAAATATTTAATAAATAGTTCAGATGTTATCTTTATTACAAAAGTAAACTCTTGAATAACAAATAGAAAAAAAAAAGAATAATATTTGAAATGAAGAATATTTTAAGTGATTTTGAACATATTTTAAAAACATTTTGTAATCTTAAAATTATATTTTAACATTGGATTCCAAAATTGTTTAGCATTCCAATACAAAATTTTATTATTGGCTGCAATTTGAAAAAATTGTAGACCTATAAACTTCCACTGTTGTCCAGCTGTCTGTCTGTCTCTGTTTCTTTAATCTTGAGAACATAGTTAGATAGATGAAAAACTAGACCAGATATGGAAAGCTTAGTGGCAGGAGGCCTCAATTAACTATATACGAACTTCCAAAGCAAGCCAGAAGTCATGTTATTTCAATTCAAAACTTTCCTCTGAATGTTGCTGATCAGCACGACTTTATTGTAAAGGTAAAGTATGATGTACAGGGGCAAGCCACTACTAATTTAAAGTGGAGAGTATATATTTTAAATTAAATAAATTAAAAATATGATTAAAAATTTCAGCCTGGCATTGTGACGATTTCTCAATAAATAATTGATCATTCTATTTTATTATTATACAAAATTCTATTTCACAATTTTCTGTGTCTAAGAAAGTTATTTTGTAATAATAATAGTATTTCAATTATTTAACATATAGAACAATTTTCATATCAACTAATCACTCAAAACACAGTTTATATCTTTATTCTAGTGCTTTTGGGTTTTCGTAATCTATTTTCAGGGACATTTACACTCAAAATGAAAAATTACATTCGTTAAAAATTATATTTTAAAGAATACTATATAGTAATATATCTGATTAGCGCACACAACATCTAATACAAAATTTTGAATGAATATATCAATTATCTATTAAATATTCATTTTAAATTAATGCCTGATCCTGATTTTAACATCAAAAAACTCTTTATGATATGATATATTTTCTAAACATGATATTTTAATGTTTAGTGTATCTTGTGTACTAAATTGAATAACAATGATATGCATGCACACACATGTAAGGTCTCATTTTGTTTAAATTAGTGGCGGTGCTGTTGTTGCCGCAATTCGCCATGTTGTTGTTCTGTTGTTTGTTCTTATCGCCACAAGTTAAAGTTGGTAAGCATCAAATATTAAATTATTCATTAATTAGTTGCGTTATATTCGTTTATTAATTTATAACGTTGTCACTCGACGCCGATCTAAACCTTATATGGCGCAGTCGACAGTGGAAAGAACATTTCATTAACAAAATTGTTAATATTAAACTTTTAGAACTTCGTTTCAACGGTCGCCATTAACGACGAGCAAAAATCAAGAGTTTAGATTGTTCAAACGTATTAAACAAAAGATATCAATTCATAGAAGTTATAAATTCGAAGAAGTAGATTATTACTAATATCGTAAATTCTAAATTGAAAAAGAATTAATTTTAACGTTGGAATTTGCTCGCCATTACGTAGGCCTGACACTCTTCAGTCGTTTCTCGCCAAGAACGCTAAATAGATCTCGCCAAGATCGGTCGCCTATCGACACGAGCATTTGTTATAAATTCGCATTTCCGGTCAAAGTTGAAAACTTCGCTTCAGAATTATGACAACCATAAACGACGAGTTGAACTCTTTAACGTCAGAAGATATAAAACACTTTACTGTCGCCCAGTTGAAAGCCGATTTACGTTTGCGGAATCTTTCTCTTGTTGGAAGCAAAGACTGTTTAATTTCTCGCATCGTGGATGATAATATAAAAAGAAAACAGCAGGGAAATTTAGACGAACTCGCTACTCTTAGGATGCGTTCGAGTGACAAAGATGATGATGCTAAAATGATTCCTGACAGCGCAGAATTATTAAAGCAAATCCAACTATTACAAAAACAAGTCGAAACCCTAAATAATCGCAACAATACGCCACAAATTCCTGCACCTACTTCGCAACTGGATCCTAATATTGCTGCAGTCCTGACTACGCTAATGGAATCCCAAAAACAGTTGATTGAGAGACAAATAAATTCGCCAAGTACTATTCAAATCACGTCAACTAATGACACGGCAAATTCCATTCCGATATTTCGTGGTGATATGATTGATAATGCGCTCGAGTGGCTAAAAGAAGTTGAAAGAATTTCAACATTGGCAAACTGGACTGATGAACTCAAATTGACTAATACTATCTCACGTCTCGCTGGATCTGCTAGAAATTGGCAATTAACTCAAGGTAACCGTTACAATAATTGGATAGAATGGAAAGTTGCCCTTACATCAAGATTTAAAAGACGTATTACTATGCAAGAATTTTTAGCTTATCAAGCTGATCGGAAACTAAAAAGGAACGAAAGCTTGGTTGATTACATATATGCCAAAGACGCTCTCTTGGAAAAAGCTCCTTTTACTATCCCACAGCCAGATCGAATTTCAATGATCATTGGTGACATCACTGAAGAAAAATGGCAGATTGCCTTAGCTACACAGAACTCTAATACTGTCGAAGAGTTAATTGACAGAGCAATGGCACTTGATGCAATTCGAAACATGCAGCACGAATATAAATCACGCCAACCTTACGGATCACGCCCATCACCGAAAATTACACCAATATCTTCAAATCCGTATAATGAACAACTTCGCAAGTATAACCCTGAAACCGATGATCTTCGCGATATCACCTGTTGGAGATGTGGAACCAGAGGTCACGCATCGTTCATGTGCAGTTTACCGCCTCCTCAAAAAGGTTCACCAATTGCTCGCCCAAAAAATTCACCGAGTCGTTTTGAAGAAATTCAGAACCGTCAAACGAACGATTCTTCTCAGCATATCGAAAACACAACTAATCCCAATAATTCATCACCACATGGCATTACAGGCCCAAAGTTTACAGATTTACGTCGCAATACTAAACGAAATTCAGCAACACGACCAGAGCCTAAAAGAGCAAATGACTCTAACTCTATAAACTGCATTAAGACCGATATAAAAAAACGTGCCTTAATACCTGCTACCATTAACAATCAAACCGAAGTTCAAGCACTCTGTGATCCATGCGCAGATATCACAGTTATTCAACAATCGTGCGTTCCACCTGATTGTGTCATTCATCCGTGGACTGATGGTAAATTCCAAGTTGTTGATCACGAAATAAAGCCCATAGGTTGGACATCCTTAAATATCAAGATTGGAAACATTGATCATCTGATGCCAAAAATTGGAATTTGCAAACAACTTCCATTTTCGTTAATCCTAGGATTCGACTGGCAACAACAAGTTCAAGCCAGATGCACTTACGATCCTAACGGCTCATTATGTATCTCTACACCATCTGCACTTCATCTGTACGAATGTATTCATGCGTCTAAAAACAGTATCAGCTGTATTTCTTCAAATGATATCTCATTACCGCCATTAGATGATGTTACTTTACCAACAGTAGTGCCAAATTGTTTTAGTCCCCAAACGCAATTAATTCCAAAATCCACAGGATTATCAAAGGAACAGCAAATTCAACTCGATGCCGTTATTGGAACATTTGCCGACGTCTTCTATTCTGAAGATGACAACATTGGATTGTGTCCATACGTGGAATTCACAGTAGATTTACAACACGACAAACCCCTTAGGTGCCGACCGTACCGCCTCACGGAGCCCGATCGCCAGTTTATGAAGACTCAGATTCAAAAATGGATAAAACAAGGAATTTGTCGCCCTTCCCAATCGCCTTACGCAGCGCCTGCCTTCATTGTGGAACAGCCCTTTCATGAAAGTACCCCAAGAAGAATTGTTGTAGATTTTTCACGCACGATTAACAGTATCACCAAGATCGACCCTCATCCGATCGACCGAATGGAAGATGTTATTAAACGCACAGTAGGTAAACTCTACAATTCAAAGATGGATGTTAAGTCTGCATTTAACACAATTCGCATAAAAGAAAGTGATATTTACAAAACTGGTTTTGTTACTCCCGACGGACATTTTGAATTTCTTCGCATGCCATTTGGAGTTACCAATGGACCATCAACGATGACGAGAGCTATTAAATTAGCTTATGACCATTTAGCGCAGTTTAATGTAAATACATATATTGACGACATTTCAACATCGCATAATGATTTCAGCTACCACCTAAAAGTGCTTTATAAAATCCTCGAAGCAACTCGCAGTGCTGGCTTTAAGTTGACACCAGAGAAATCTCAATTTGCAGCGTCAGAAATCTCTCTTTTTGGTAGAATTCTTTCCCAACGTGGTGAACGCCCTGATCCAGGACGCACAGCAGCAGTTGAACGTTACGTAACTCTGAAATCGATTCATGAAGTTAGAAGCTTCCTTGGCTTTGCCAATCAGTTTAGAAAACATATCCGCAATTATGCTGTTATTGCAAGTTTTATTGACGATACTCCTCGTGAAGATCAGTTAGACCTTTTAACCTTAGCCAGGGCCGAAGCCGCCAACAATGTGTACGAAACACACTTAGATAACAAAAGGAGATTTGATCTACATCGCCAACCCCATTCGTTTAAGCCTGGAGATCTCGTCTTATACGACTGGCCGAAACAACACGATCATAAACTCTCGCCAATGTTCAAGGGACCATTCGAGATTGTTCGTCCAGTCGGGGCCGTATGCTACGAGATCACATCGCTCACAGCACAAAGAAAGTTTCAGAAGGTCGTCCATGTGCAACATCTTCGTCCATATTACAAGCGAGATGCGCCAGTCCTCGAAGAAGACGTAAGCTCCGAGGAAGAAGAACCGGAAGTGGAAGTTCAGGATCAGGTAGATGATCGCTCAAAGGTACTTGACCAAAATGACCAAGAATCAAGTAGACATGACAGACGTCGCAACCGTCACCCTCCCAAAAGACTTGAACAATAACTTTTATACCTTACGTGTTACACTTCAATTCTAAATTTGTACCTTGTCCTGAATTTCTCATTGAGCGGGGCCAAATGTAAGGTCTCATTTTGTTTAAATTAGTGGCGGCGCTGTTGTTGCCGCAATTCGCCATGTTGTTGTTCTGTTGTTTGTTCTTATCGCCACAAGTTAAAGTTGGTAAGCATCAAATATTAAATTATTCATTAATTAGTTGCGTTATATTCGTTTATTAATTCATAACGTTGTCACTCGACGTCGATCTAAACCTTATGCACATAAGAATACAGTATGTGTAGATATTTTGAAATGTAGTTATTAGTGCCTTCAGAGCATTGAAAATTTTTACAGTGTGATTAAAAGGCAGAATTTATTTTAAAGTATGAATAAATAAATGATTTAGCCTGTTTTTGAAATTTAAAATGCTAAATCAAACTGTTTAAATAAACACATTTTGAATGTAAGTTTAGTCTTATACTCTTTATAGTCTGAAATGTATTAGATCCTAAAATGCTACAAATATTTATGTAATTCATAAAGATGATGATTATAACTTTTAAAGCTTCAAAAGAAGAATGATTTTCTAAATGATAATTAAAAAGTGTTTGACTACAGATATAAAAAAATCCATTCTGATGGTGGTCTGTAAAAGATTCAAAATATTCCAGACTAAAGGAGTTGTTAAACCACATAAAACTAGATTTAAAATTATGTATTAAATTGATTAATTTAAGTATATATGATTGTTTGCTGATAAAATAAAAAATAATAATAATTTGATGCACTTATTATTATTTCTTTATTTGTTTAGGACAGTATTTAAATTACTAGGATCAACAAATGAAGTCATCAGATTACAAGCATTGAAATTATTAGGATATTTTCTCAGCAGAAGTACACATAAGTAAGTTATTAATGTTATTACTACTCTCTGTTAACAAAGTGATAAAATTTATTTTTTAATTGAGAAATTTCTAATCAAAAGAATATTTTGGAAGAAAAGGTTAACAGGAGTTGAGTTTGGGTCTCACTTTAGATCAATCTTTTCTTCAGAATATTCTAAATTAAATTTATTTATTTCTAATTATAAAATTTAATACAAGACAATGGCTTAACTTCCTATCTCCTACCAAATTACTTACTATAATAATTAATTAGTCTTAAGTATCTGATTAATTAGTCTTAAGCCTGATAAAGAATCTGGCTGTTCATTTTGTATTTAAATGAATTGTTGGGTTCATTGTATATGTTATCATATTGTATGAATTACTATTTATTAATAATAGTAATTATGATTGATACATCTTCAAATTTTACATTTTTTAATTGTTTTGACATGTTTTTTAACATTAGAATGTAACTAGGATTTCTGTTAATTATATTCTTATTTATTTACTCTGCTTAATGTTATAATTCAGTTATCATCATAATGAGTCTCAATGTAATCATAGTTAATATTAAAAAATTGTTTAATTTTTACTTAATATAAATAATCAATTATTATGCATGTCATAAATAGTTTTGTAATAATAGTAATTATTAATTTTCTTTTTTATCTAGAAGAAAACATGATGTGATGAATCCTCATAATTTATATATGCTACTGACTGAACGTCTTTTATTGCATTCAGATCATCTTACCCTTTCTACTTACAATGTACTGTATGAGGTATTTAATGCATATTTATTATTTATTCATCTAATTTTTGGTCATTAGGGCAGCTTAAACTTACTTAATATGACACACTTTCTTTATTATATATAGTTTTAAATATAAGAGATTTACTTGATATTTAAATTTAAATATTTATTGAAATTTGATGTTTATTAGATTTCAATAAAATTTTAATTTAATAGGTAAAAGCTTAATTTAAAAACAAATACATCTTATTTTTAAATTAAATAAAACACACAAAAATGTTCTAGATTTAAAATTGTATTATAGTAATTTTAAATACAATTAAAAAAAAAACTTATTTTATCAATTACTTTTTCCATTCATTTCATTGTATATCTGAAATGTTGTACTTAATTTTCTAACCTAACTTTAATTATTTAAAATTATTTATTTTTAAGTTATTTTTCACTTCTTTTAATAACAAATATATTTTGTTTTGATAAATTAAATAATTGTGTTGATTTTGTAATGGCTTTACATTGTTTGAATATTATAGATTTTGACAGAACATGTTTCAAGTCAAATTTTGTACACTAAACATGCAGAACCGGAGTCACATTATAGATTAGAAAATCCAAGTAAGTATTTTATAATTCTTACCTAAAATTTTAGAAAGTTTTATTTAATTTGTGTGAAAGTTTTAATTGAGTCTTCAATGTATTTTAAAGGTTATTAATGTATCACAGTTTTATTAAGTTTCAATGATTTTCAATTTTAATTTTATTTCTGAAATCAATAAAATAAACAAACTAAGTTGTTTAATATGAAATATTTATCAATTTTTACAAATTATATATATAAATTTTATATATATTTATAATAAATATCCAGTAATACCTCGACTTACGCTACCCTGACTTACGTGAACCTGGAGTTACGTGATTTTCAAATCTCGTCGATTCGTCTTTTGTTTGAGCGCCATGCAACTTTTGATTACTCACTTTCCCCACACTATTGTTCAGCTTATATGTTCGGACGTGTAGCGCGGAATCGATACATAGCTACAATTTATTTTGTGTTATTTATTTCTGTGTTTGTTATATCTACGGAGACTTGAGAGACTCTATGTGGTGATTTCTTGTAATTGTGAATGAATCAAAAGACGAGATAAAATTAATGAGAACATTTATTAGCTTAAATACATTCGACTTGGATTTTACACAAATTGCGAAATTACAGTAGAGCGTCGTTTATTCGAATCAATTGGGGACTGGGGTTGTTCTGATAACTTATTTTTCGGATAACCGATTATGTACGAAAAAATATATTAACCTATCCCATCCTGAAATTTTTCTCTGTTGCGTGCCACTTTGCATTGAATTTTTATCAATGTTAAGCCTAACGTAAACTTTTTAAAATAATAATCGTGGCTATTGTAGCGTTAATAATTATTTCTTTATTTTGTACAAACAAAATAAATATATTGAAAAATATAAAAACAATAAAAAATTATACTTCAGAAATTAATTTANATGGAATTGTTATACATCTGTATTATTTTATTATGGCATAAAATACAAAAATATTATTCTATATAAATAATAGGCACTGTGTATATATTATTTATGAAGAAAAATATTTTTATATTTTTTACTTAATGAATATTTGAAAAAAATGTTACATAATTTTTTTCCTCTTAAATATGATGTATAGATGAGTTGTAATTAACTTCTAAGAATATATTTTAAAATAAAATATATAATTTTTTTATTCGTTTTAATTTCGTTTAAAAAATGGTATTGCATTTATTTTATGGTATTTGATTTATTTTACAGTGATTTTAAAAATTGTGGCCACTCTTATTAGACAGTCTAAACCATCTGAAGAGTTAATGGAAGTAAAGAAATTATTTTTATCAGATATGACTCTCTTATGTAACAACAACAAAGATAATAGAAGGTAAAAAATATTATAAAAAATAAATTAAGTATAGCTATGTTTATGTAAATAATAAATTATGTATGTTTTATTACTTTGTTAAAATTAAGGATGGGTTAATTCAAATGAAAAATAATCAATTAATCAATTATCAAAATTATTCAAACTAATTCAAATTTTGACTTTAAAATTATTTGAATGATTTACTTGCTTTTTTAAAAAACATTTTAACCTTAAAATGATGAAAAATTGCTCAAAATGTTATAAAAATTTTTTACTCTATAATCAAAATTTTGCATCAAAAAATTATTTTCTCTAATAAATGAATAATTTTAGATGTTTGAGCATTGAAAATTTTTACAGTGTGATTAAAAGGCAGAATTTATTTTAAAGTATGAATAAATAAATGATTTAGCCTGTTTTTGAAATTTAAAATGCTAAATCAAACTGTTTAAATAAACACATTTTGAATGTAAGTTTAGTCTTATACTCTTTATAGTCTGAAATGTATTAGATCCTAAAATGCTACAAATATTTATGTAATTCATAAAGATGATGATTATAACTTTTAAAGCTTCAAAAGAAGAATGATTTTCTAAATGATAATTAAAAAGTGTTTGACTACAGATATAAAAAAATCCATTCTGATGGTGGTCTGTAAAAGATTCAAAATATTCCAGACTAAAGGAGTTGTTAAACCACATAAAACTAGATTTAAAATTATGTATTAAATTGATTAATTTAAGTATATATGATTGTTTGCTGATAAAATAAAAAATAATAATAATTTGATGCACTTATTATTATTTCTTTATTTGTTTAGGACAGTATTTAAATTACTAGGATCAACAAATGAAGTCATCAGATTACAAGCATTGAAATTATTAGGATATTTTCTCAGCAGAAGTACACATAAGTAAGTTATTAATGTTATTACTACTCTCTGTTAACAAAGTGATAAAATTTATTTTTTAATTGAGAAATTTCTAATCAAAAGAATATTTTGGAAGAAAAGGTTAACAGGAGTTGAGTTTGGGTCTCACTTTAGATCAATCTTTTCTTCAGAATATTCTAAATTAAATTTATTTATTTCTAATTATAAAATTTAATACAAGACAATNACAGATGACAGCACTTTATAATTGCAAATAGAAACATAATTGAATTCATAACAGCATTAATTATTGTGATGATTAATTTTAACAATGGTTAGAGATGTTTGTTTGAGTGTGATCAAATCAAGGCAATCCATCAGGCTGGAAGTTCTGCTAAAGCTATTGAAAAGCAGCTAAAGAGAGCATGTGTTGTAGCCAATTATATTAAAGTTAGTGTAAAATTTGGAAAGAATAAACAAACAGGATGGCCTTCCAAGTTGACAAGGAAACAGAAATCAGAAATTATCTGAGAAATGTAAACAACAGGAACATCATTATGTAAAATAGCTCAAAGGCCTAATGTTAATGTTCATAAATCAACAAAACATTTAGTGTATAAAAATAGAAAAGCAGCCTGTACCATATCTAAAACAACAACACCATAAAAAAATTGATATGGGCTAAAGATAAAATGTGATGGACTTCAAAGTGTTCAATTCAAATAACTTCCCACATGGTGGGAAGTTATTTGAATTGATAATAAAATTTTTAATTTGGATGGTACAATGTTTGCAAATTTTATTGGCACAATCTTAGGAGAGGGGGGGTTTGCTAAGCATTGGCAAGAAGGGAATCAACTATGATCTGGGCAAGATTTTGATGGTCTGGAAAAATCTATTTAGCTTTAAACGAAGGCAGTTGGGTATCAAAACCTCTTGGATGTATATCTTCTGCCATTTTAGAAAAAATTGGTGGTCCATTCTGGCAATTGCAACAAGATAATGCACCAATCCACAATGCAAATCTCACTTATCAGTGGATAATGGATAGTGGTTACTGGATATAATGGTATTGATGTCATGGATTGACCTCACTATTCCCATGATTTGAACCCCATAGAAATTATATGGAGTTTAATAACTAAGGCTATGTATGCCGGAGGAAAACAATGTCACAGTACTGAAGAACTTAAAGCTGCAATTGTAATTGCATGGAAAAAACCAATTTAAATATGCTGCAAAATCTTGTTAACTCTAATAGATTTTACAAAGTTACTTTAAAAAATGTTAGCTTCATTGGCTTTTAAAAACCACTGGCCTTATATTTTTGCAACACCATTATTTTTGATTTTTTGAGTAAAAAATTTATATTTTCATTTTTTTTTTAGGTTGTAAATAGAATAAGTATTTCCTTTACTAATACATTTATACCTGTCACCAATTTTTTACTTAATTTTAACTTAAAAAATTTTACTTAAAAAATTTATTATTCCAAAAAATTAGAGCAATCTTATATTTTTGCAATGCACCTTAATTGAGTTTTAAAACAGGAATTTCATATTTTTATGCTTAATATGGAATGTGCAAAGTGATTATAATATTGTTATATCATTAAGATGCTTAATGCTTAAAAATTTTTACTGATTTGAATATCATTTGGTTATGAAATTCATATAAATCTAAATTTATCATTACTTAAAATGTTAGTGATAGTTCTGACACTGATTTATTAACATTCATATTTACACATAAAGTAAAGAAATCTGTAATTTGTATTTTCTTTGGTTAATGCTTTAAAATAGGGGTTAGCAAACTTTTGTAGGAAAGGGCCAGATCGTAAAAAAATTCAAGTTTTGTGGGCCAGGTTGCAAACTCGAATAGGTATATTTTTTTAAAAAGGTACTTCTACTCATAAAGCAAAAACAAAAAAGTTATTTGTATTAGGAAGTGATATTTTTACATACATAATATTTATACATATTATTGCTGAAACTTAAAAACAAATAAAACATTTTTAATGAACTTATTATAGAATGGTTAAAATTTATACTAATATGAAGAATGAAATTGTTTCTTCTGAGACAATATTTCATCATACTGGACTTTCAAATTAATAATTCCACGTGCGGTCATTATTTAAAAATTTCTCAGATTGTCTATTGGCCATTGCGTTACAGAGTGTAATGGGGATGTCGCTGCACCTAACAGCTTTGACAGCGGTGCATTCTGTAGTTAGTTTGCATAAGGGTTATAAACATTAGATAATATTAGATAAATAAAAACTGCTGATTTAAAAAAAATATATTATTGAAATTTAATAATTACTATTAGTTAATTACAAAAATAAATAAACAAATGGAAAATACTAAAAAATACAGACAATTTAACAATATTTAATGAAATTAAACAATAAAAAGCAGAACAGCTATAGAAAACAAATGCAATTTGATAACACTATAACCCTTAAGACAGTAGTGTTATCTGAGATAAGACTGGCTGCACCATCTCTATTTGATTTACTTGCAATTTTTCCATGTAAATACGATATTAACACACGGGTTGGATTAAAAACAGGTGGTGGGTAGTAGTTTAATGACCCTCTGCTCTGAAACATAGCTGTCTTCATTATAGCATCTTGTATACATATACTCCTTACTAATACACTGTACTCTTTACCTAGAACATAGTTTGTATAATTTCTTCTTTCAACTTGGAGATTTTCAGAAATTTCCTGATATGCATGAATTACTTTAGTGATTAATTATTTGATTCTAAATAAATCCACTAATTATATGCTATTTGAAGTCACCGGATCCTGTGAATGATTGAAGAAATTATTGATTTTAGTTTTTGTTAATAGATAGTGCTGATGATTAAGTTGGCTTTGATGTGAAATAAAATGCATAATACATTAAAATTTATTAAGTAATATTCTCTTTTATAATGTGTCATCATTCATGGAAAATAAGAAAATCAAATTCCCGGATTCTGGGATTGAGAAAACTTTAATTCTAGGATTGAAATCTCAATTTGTGGTTACTTTAGCTTTGGTTAACTTGTGATTTTTTCTTATATATCAAAAATCAAAGAAATTGAAACAGTCTACATTCAAGATAATCTATATATATAAAAATGAATGTATGTCTGTCTGTCTGTCTGTATGTCCTTTGTGCATTACCACACTGTTTATCCGATTGCCATGAAACTTTGGGAAGTTTTTTAATACACTCCCGCAAAGGTTTCTGGCATAGTACATTTATCCTAAGATAGATGGTGCGAGTGTATACGAGCATTTCATCTTGAGTTCGATCAATTTCAAATTATGAAGATCATTTCCCCCCTCCAAAAAATATCTTTATATACGGATTTGTAAACTGTTATTTACAATATTTGTAATAATTTTTGTTTAATCACTTTATTTCAATTATTTTTTGCTAATTATATATTCGCTTGAACTTTGTTAAACCTTAACTGTATCCTGAACAACAACCGAAGTTGTAGGAGGAAATTCGCCTATTTTATCAATCTAGGAATCCCCGTTTTCCAAATTTTAATATCAACTCAAAATAATTTAAAAAGACAAATTACAATAAAATGGTTTATCCAATTATCAGAAATTTCACAACATGCCAAGGAAGAGAGGAAGGAGCAATTAAATAGTTAAAATTGTAAAAGATTAAAAAATATATATAAAAATGGGGAATATCGCACTTCTGACAATCGCTACAAGTGTGTGGGCTAGATTTGGAGAATCCGTTCTTCTCGCATGGACAACTGTATGTGGCCAGCTCTTGCGTCAGAAAACCTGATTTATTTGTGTATGCACCAGACAGAAAAACAAAAAATATCGTGTATCCACAATCACTCTAATAAATAAATAGAATTGAAACGACACTTTGAAATGTTTTCCCGATGAAAATTAATAATAAGTATCAATAAAAATGATAAAATGTAAATTGAATTTTATTATAACGAGTTCGCTTGAATTTCGTTATTCTGAGATCGCAGCAATGCGCAAAGGGTAAGCTAGTTAAGTAATAAAAATGCAGTTTTTATTTGAATTTGAAAATGAAACAACTAATTGAAATGTCCGTAAACAGTTATTGAATATTTCTTTTTATTAGGTTATCATATCATTGCCATTAAATCATAGACTGTTAATTAAAAGAATTTTTTCTGATTGACTTCTAGTGAATTTATTCATGGAAAATTATTCAGAATTATATAAAATATAAGTACATTTTATCCAGTAACAATAAAACTTAGTGTTAACATTATGATGTGTATTGCTTTGCAGTAATCCTAAAAATAAGATTAATTAATATGACTAATAAAAATATAACTGTATATTAAAAAAAATAAAAATACAGATATTATTTTACAAGCTAACATTAATTGATATATTGATTCTACAAAAATGCTTGATTTTTCAATTATTGCTCATTATACATTGTATTATATGTATTATTGCTCAAGTTGTCTGTTTTTAACAGTATTATTTCTTGTTATCAAGAAATTTAAGTGTAAAATTTATAAGTTTTGCTTTAAATTCTGTAAACATCTGCCAAATAACTGATAGTCTTCACAAAGGAAATTTTGTTGTGTTGAAGAAGACATTTATGCAGACATCAGTGTATAAATACATTTACATAAATAGTCTATTTACTGAAATTTTCTTTAAAATTTAGGGTGCATTTTATACATCCACTAGAGGTTAACACCTCTAATGGATGCAATTTGGAAAAAACATATCACTAAAAATAATTGTTTTTGGAACTATATACACATTGCATAACACATGATAAATATTAAATATAACAGAAATCTACTGAAAAATTTTAGCAGTTATCTATTTTAGTTATATATGTATAACTAAAATAGAAATAATGATTTAAAATATAGGGAACTATAGCAATTTGATATTGTCTCTGCTAGATCTTATCAGTAACAGCATGAATGGGTGTTTAATGACATTTTATGTAAATTTTGAGTTTGGTCCTATATGCAAACATAGATGATGTAGAGGTTATTTACATTAATATAAAATTTTATATCAGATATTGATCCATTAATAATATCTTAATTTATTTCCAGAACTGTGCTACAAATGTCTGTTTGGCAAGAATGGTTAATAGCTATGGCTTATATACATCCTCATTGTGCTGAAGAACAAAAGATTTCAGATATGGTTTATTCTTTATTTAGAATGCTATTACATCATGCAATAAAATTTGAATATGGTGGTTGGAGAGTATGGGTAGATACTCTTGCAATTGTTCATTCAAAGGTATTTTAATTTAGTTATTTTTAGAGAAAAATACTTTAAGGTTTGGAATTAGAAAAATTATTGATTAAGTCTATTATCTATACAAAAAAAAATAAACATTTGTTATTAATGCTAATTTTATGACAAATAATATGAAAAGTAAAAAAAACAGGAAAAAACTACAATTATGAGGAAAATATCTCAAATATGTCAAGATTATCTTCTTTACTCTGTTTTTTAACTGTTTTTAACTTTTTAGATTATTTCTGGTAACACCAAGCACTATCACTTATAGTAATCTTTTTTTGGGAGGAGATTTTCCTGCATTTATTTTCAATGTCATAGTGGTAAAAAATTTCTGATTTAAAGACTGTACTGTGTTTTCTCCTCTTTCATGTTAAAAGTTTTTGCTTCTCTGGTAATATTGTTCAGTAATTAATATTTTCTCTATGATTAATTTTATTTATGGCTTTATTTATCCATTATATCATAGTTTAACTTCAATTCGTGTGTAGTATTTATAAGCTAATACATTGTGATGAGTGCATAAGAAGATAATTATGAAACATATGAGGAAAGAAAGAAAAAATGACATAAAAGGCATAAAAATACAACAAACAGAAAAGCATTTAATAGTAAATGACAAAAATTGACAAAATTTAAAAATTGATTTGTAGAGGATATAAATGATTGATATTCATGTTTGTGTTTTGATATGTAATAAAATCATTAAAATGTGGCTACTTTTCCACATAGGAACCATAGTAGTTCAAGTACTTGTCTCAGTGTGTGACAAAGTTAAACATTTTGACCTGTAGACATATGGATGCTTATTGTTATGCAGGAAGAGATTGTCATCAGTTCCCAGATCTGGTCTTGTCATGTAATATTCATTGTAACCACTTCAGGGTCTCAAAGTATGTAACAGCATTGATAGTTGTTTCATATGGAAGGAAATTCACTAGCAAAATACCCTTCTAGTCCCAAAAAACAGACTTTCTTGGTAGATTGCATCAGTTTGGTGCAGGTGATTCCAGATGCTTCCAAACCATAATCACTTTTTTGATTATAGTGTGAAATTGTATGCTTAAGACTCATCCCAAATGATGATGCTTTCAATGAATTGGTTGCTTTCTTTGTGATATTGTTTCAAATGATTTAAACGTGTTATCATTCTGATGACAGTTTCATGGAAGGCAATGGAAAACCACCATGTTCTTTTTCTTTTTTCCAAGACTTGATGAACTACTCATCTTTACCACCACACCGGAGAATAGTAATATAATTACCTCTTTCTAACCTGTTACNTCACTTCACCTTCCTGTTGTTAGGCCTAACGCTAAGTTCGCATTTCGTCATAAAACTCGAAAAAATTCAGAAAAAGGCACTTAATCCATTCACTATCTTCTTCCTTATTCCTTCTGGATCACAAATATCACTTCATAGAACACTTAAACTCACAAAACAAGCCCAAAACGAATCTCTAGCAGCTGCTCATGAAAACTCACCCTCACTGGCAAGATAAGAACAGATACATTAATTAGACTTATTGGAGAAAAAATGATTGAAAAAACAGAGATCTTTATCTGTGCTTTGTGGACTATGAAAAGGCTTTTGACAATGTTAATCACACAATTTTATTTGAAATACTTCAAAAAATTGGAATAGATAAAAGGATAATTAAAATTATTCTCTTTTTATACAAAAATCAGAAAGCAATAATAAAAATTGATGAGAAAGAATCCAACTGGATAAGGGTGGAAAAAGGAGTGAGACAGGGATGCGGACTTTCACCACTGTTATTTAATATTTACAGTGAGTGGATGATGCGAGAAGCACTTGAGGATTTTAACGAAGGAGTGAAAATCAATGGATGCTTAATAAACAACATAAGATACGCTGACGACATAGTCCTGCTGAGTGAAAGTAAAGAGGGATTACAGAAAATTCTGAATCGACTGTTCAAAACTGGATTGGAGAAATTCCATATGAAAATAAATGAAAAGAAGACAAAAGTAATGAAGGTTTCAAAGAAGGAAGATATGGA